CACTGTCATTTGTAGGACTGCTTCTCTTCACATCTTGGCTACGTGACACTTGCACTGAGATTAAGCTACCCTCTCTCTTATTGCTGCATTACTTCAAATTTTGCTTTAGTGAAGTAGCCCTTTTACCAGAGATCAAATACTGAAGGTTGATAAATCACTGTTGAAGTTGGTCAGTAATTGCTCACAATAGAGTTTTTCACCATCACTAGTATAATATTAAAATATTCTGTTATTACCAGAAATGGAACAGATGACAGTTATATCAAAATATAATGTTATTGTTTGGTCTTTATCATTAAAAAAGCAGTTTTTAAATTAAGTTTCTACTGTATTACATGTGTTTCATCCAGTGTAGCATCCCTCTTGAAATGTATTGTTACGTATGGATATATTTGGATAGTGTTCTTTTTTTTTTTTTTTTAATCCTCACCCGAGGACATTTTTTTTTCCATTTTTTGTTCAGATAGAGTGGGAGGGAGAGAGAGGAAGAGAGAGAGAGAGAAACATCGATGTGAAGGGACACATCGAGTGGCTGCCACCCTCACGACCAACCAGGGCTGGGGACAAACTGCAACCGAGGTACGTGCCCTTAGCGGGAACCGAACCCAGGTCTCTCTGTACCGCAGGTCGACGCTCCAACCGCTGAGCCAAATCGGTCAGGGCTGGGTAGTGTTCTTTAAACAAGTAATATAATTACACTCATTGGAGTGTAGTTTGAAGACAATGAAACATATTTACAAGTAACTCTTTATGGGTTTATCTGCTTAAATAAACAGGGGAATGCTTGCTTTAACCAGTAAATTTGGCATGTGAAATGACCAGATTAAGAACAGATATTAAGTGATTAGTTTAAATGAAATTCCGTGAAATAAAATTTCAATGCACTATACATTATTTGCTTTGTTTCTATTTGTAAAAATGCCAGTAATATATCAATAGATATGGTATAAGAGGGAAAACTTCTTGAAGAGGTTAAATAATGACCTTTGAGGGAAAAAAAAATATAAAACACAAAGGGAAAATAGCAAGCATAGATAAATAACAAGACAAAAATGTCAGGGACCTAAGAATTGGTATGATGACCAAGGATTCTCAGTACATCTCAGGCCAGATTTTTGCAGTCTAATCTAATCCTGTGTGTATTAAATACCTTGTGAACTGAAATATGTTTTCATGACACTATATTCCACTGATGCTTAATTAAGTCATGTAGCTATTAAGAGACTATGCCTTGGTATGAATGAAACTAAAAGCACGGTCCTGTATTTTTTGGTTAAAAGTTCATTGGAGAGTACCTCTTTCCACAGAATAATACTACTAAAATTGGAATGACAACAGAAGACTAGCATGGCCCTTGTGTAAGGTTGATACACACATTCAAAAAATACTCCATATTTTTAAGCTAATATTTTTATTTGATTCACTTACTAGCAGGCTGTTTTCCTGCCTCAAAGCAAATTGTTAGAGTCCATTTACATTCCCTCCTTAGCCTGTCAGTATTGGCAGAATCTCCAGCGTGATCACTACAGCACAGTCCAGACCTTGTCATTTGATTTTGAAAATGTTATCCTTGCCACAGCCAATTACAGCAGTGATGTGTGAATATCTTCTTTGTTCATTGTGCATGGTAGTATGTATTCATAGGCACAGACACCATAGCTGCATTTTTTATGACACTTGGCCTCAGAAAATAGGAAGACCTAATGGAGACCAGGGACCATGATGGAGCTTTATGCTTGGTCTCTGATTCTCTCTCCCAGATCAGTTCGGCCTTCTGGTAGATAGTACAAATCTGTTAAGTCTGGAAATGTTGAGTTGGTCAAAAATGAAAATAATACTCGAAAGCAAAGAGACCTATGAAATGTGTCTGGATACAATTAAGTAAATGTATTGTGTCTGCTAGTAGCCCTATTTAAAGTTGCTAGCTCCATCTTAATTAGAGTAGACTAGACTGAAAATGTACTGTTTTGGCATTTTGGATTTTTGTTTGTTTATTTCTTTGTGGACACGAACTACCTGTTTTGTGCAAGGAAACAGAGTGACAGTTTTTACAGAGAAACCTGTCACTGACACAAGTTTTACTTTGCTTATAATGGTAGTATGGGGTTGGTATGTAAGACTCATCCTTTTGCCATTGTCAAGAAAGACCATAAAGTTGATCAGTGGGGTATAGACAAGTTTTAATCCATCTGGACACTGGAGGGGTACCACCAGAAGGACTAGAACTTGACCAGAAGCCTCAATAATGACTAAATTGTCTTTATCCCATAAAGTGAGGAAATAAGGTAGCTGTTCATTTTTTATAAAGAAAGAAAAAGGCAAAGGATACAGTGTGAAACAAGAGTTTGTCGTCGTTCACCCACCCTCACCCACAGTAACAGTAAGACTTGAAAGAAGACTATTGAAAGTATTCAAAACCATGGAAAGACTTATGAAGGCATTACACTATACCGGAAAGAAACAGAAAGGAAAAGCCTCTTGATAAACTTCAGGGAGAGAAGTTCTCATTCCTGATGGAAACATCTTGCCTTCAGATGTTTATTCCAGGTCTTTAAAACAATCAAGTCAAGTAAACTAGAAGACACATTACTGATGTTACTTTTTTCTAAATGTTCTTAATTAAAATGTTTAATCTAGATATTCTTAAACTCTTCATGAATTTATCTAGCTGGACCCTAGATACCGTACTCTTTTGTCTCTTCTTTCTCCTTAGATAACCAGAGCCAGGAAATAACTGTTTTACAAATCAAGTCCTAATGAAGTTAGCTTCATTAGGGCAAGAAAGGGTGAAGTTGTATTTTGTGAAGTCCCCAGGCTTTTGAAAGAAAAAGAGAGGAGAGTTAATTCTAATACTGACTTTAAGCTGAAAAGTAGATCCCTTTTGTATTTTTTTCTTAAGTGAACCCATCAGTCAAGAAAGGAGCAATGTGAGGTTGGCATCATTTCTGTAATTCCAAGTAATAAATGGATTTTATTCCTGAAGTATGTGAGACATGGGTCTCGTTTGTAAAGGGGAATTACAAAGGCCTGTGTGCCCCAAGTGTTGGTTGTCATCCGTTACAAACTTGGCTATAAACTTTTAGTTGTAAAAGATTGAGCTTTTAGGACAATTTTCTTTATGTTTCTTGGGAGTTAAAATTTTTGTTTAGCTGGAAATCAGAGTAGCATTTCGAGAACCTCTTCATGTTTTCCATTTCCTTCATAGTAGGCTGTCTTTGCTGGGCTGGTATTTTCATTGATCTCATTGGTTAAATCTTCATGGAGGCAATGAGGTGCATAATTGGGCTTCTGTTTTCATTGTCTTGTTGAAGTATATATACTTTTGGCCCTTAAATATAGACACAGTTGCCAAACTTAAATACCTTAAAACTGTTTCTCTGTTTATATAAAAGATACTATTTTGTAACCATTTTATAAGGAAAATATCTATTTTCTTATTAAAATTCATAATGTATCTAATAAGCTAAGATTAACTATTTATTAATCTTCACTTTATTACTGGTTCTTATGTTTGTTTACTACTTTTGATTCTGCTACTCACATTGGATTCTTTTAACCCACCTTAATAAAGTCCTTGTTCACATTTATTGAAAATCAAAAGTCTACATTGGTATGGACATTACTGACTTAGACCTTAATTGTTTGTCGTTATTTTAAAAAATACATTAGCACAGCCCCTTTCTAAGCCCATCCATGTACCTGATATTAAGGAACCCTTGTCTTAAATAATTTATTAAATCCCTGAAATGTACTTTTATAATACCTTTCATCACACTATGAATTTAATCATGAGAATGAATTGCATCTTCTACTAAAGGAATTGGAATTTTCCATATACTGGTCATGAAAACTTGATGTTCTACCCTGAAGTGTTAAGGTCTCTTAATCACTAAAAAGGATGAGTTAAAACTGTTTTCTCATGGTCAGCTTATAAGGTCAGTGAAGGACAGCACTTTGAAAGAAATGGATAATATGCATCCTTTCAGAGCTAGTGTATATTACAGCTGTCCCTTTGGACTCACTCCAACAACAGTTCAGTGACTCTTAGAGGCAGAGAATTTAGAGGCTCTAACTGGGGCTCAGAAAACTTGTATTGAAAGACACTTGCTTCCCATGCACATCCACTGCAGTTTTACAAATCATGCTTCTTATCCCTCAAATACAATTGTTCTCTCAATGCTTTGGATTATCTTTTAAAAGGTATCTTCATCCACCTCTTTTTTGCTATTACTATTACTGCTTTGTTCAGGCCCTTGTTACATTTTCCCTGAGATAATTTCAACAATTTAGTTTTCCTACTTACTCCTCTATACTCCAGGACTATAGTGACTCAAAACAAGACCCTATCTTGGAAAAGTTCACCGTCTAGCAGGAAGTCAAACATGTATGTAGATAATTTTAATAAGAATGTATTAGCCTGGTCCATGGGGTTCAGTGGATTGAGCATCATCCCATGCACCAAAAGGTCACTGGTTTGATTCCCAGTCAGGGCACATGCCCTGGTTGTGAGCTTGATCCCCAGTATGGGGCATGTAGGAAACAGCTGATCGGTGTTTCTCTCTTATCCATGTTTCTATCTCTCTCCCCCTCTCCCTTCCTTTCTATCTAAAACATCAATAAAAATATTTTTTAAGAAAAGAGAATGTATTAAGGTATAATCATAGAAATATATGTAAAAGACTGGTTGTAAACTTTTAGTTGTAAAAGATTGAGCAGTCAGGACATTTTTCTTTATGTTCTTTGGGTAACATTTTTAAAAGGGAGTACTTAACTCTGGAAACATTTAAAGTAACTTTTAAGGATAGTAATCAGACCATAGAATTATTAATCCAGGCTTGTTTGTTTTTTATTGTTGAAAGCATTACAGATGTCCCCCTTTTTTTTCCTTAATCCAGGTTTTAATCACGTTATTTCTGTAGCAAGTACAGAGGCAACTTTGGTTCTTTTAGTCTAAATCAGACTGAACTAAAGATTTGGTAATTTTTTTAAAAACAGGAAATCTTATTTTCTAGTTAATGAGCAAATAAAGAGATGCAACTGAATTAGCCACAAAACCACATGTTAATGTTTTCCTGTTGACCTGCCTGAGAATGAGGGTAGAAAATGTCTTGTCAACATATATCTAAATGTATCCGTTAAATCAGATGTAAGTATTTGTAAAACTTTTGGTCATTCAACAAACATGTATGCAGTTTCTATATTTATAGAGCATAGATATCTAGAAAATACAAACTGCTTATTTTAGCAAATTGTGGTTGTTTGAGATGATGAGCTACCAATGGAGTCACTCTAGGTATCCTCTAAATTTGTAAGTGTACACTTTAGTACAGCTTTCTTATTTTTAATGATTTTGTAATGCACATATGATATTGAGATTCAAATACAAATAACTATTTTAAACATAATACACTTCTGAAATTGAAACTGGAATTTTAAATGTCTGAAATATATTCTATGTATATTTTTAAATTAAACTTGCTGGGGTAACATTGATTAATAAAATTATATAAGTTTCAAGTGTACAATTCTATACATATAATCTATATATTATGTGTATATTGCATTGTGTGCTCACTACCCAAAGTTTAGTCTCCTTTTGTCACCATATATTTGACACCCTTTGCTTCCTTCAATTACTTTTTGGGTATTTTAAAGTAATCAAGTCAGCAAAAATCTCTGCAGTCGTAGGCTGTATTTATAGAAACGTAATCCACAGTCAGGTAATAGTTTTCTGTACTCTGCCATGGTGATTTGACTCTAGAATATTGTACTAGATTTTGGTTGCTGCATTTTAAGATGAATATAAGCAAAATAACACATTCAGTGAAAATGAAGATGATGATAAACTCTTGCTTTAATTATGGTAAAAGGAATTGGGGATAAAGAGACCTAGAGAAAATTCTCATCACTGTCAAGTATGTGAAAAAATAGAGAAGGCAGATAGAACTGATGAAATGAAGTTTAGGAATGACAGCCTTCAGAAATAACTTGAGAAGTACCCCACAAAAATTTTTATATTAGGTAGTGAGCTCCCAACAGTGAAAAATATCCAATTAAGTGAGTGAAAAATATCCAATTAAGTGACTTCTGAGAAACTTTCCTGTTTCAAGATTTTAACTTCACTTTCTAAAATCAATGTTTGTTTGTTTGTTTGTTTTTCCTCCAAAAGACTTAGATTGCAAATGTAGGACTATAGTTGCAAAAGTAGGGTTGGGGATAACTTATTAGCCAATGTGCATTTAGAAAGTCTCCCATTCATATCATGTAATTCTAATACCTTATCAGAGGTCAGCAAACTTTTCCTGTAATGGGCCGTAGTAAATATTTTAGGCTTTGCAGGCTGCATAGCACCTGCTGAACTCTATTATTATAATGTGAAAGCATCATTGACAATATGTGACACAGTTTATTGGCTGTGCTCCAATTAAATTTTATTTTCAAAAGTAGATGTTAAGCTGGATTTGTACTGTGGACCATAATTTAACAGCCCTTGCTTTAAATGATGAAATCTGGAAATACCATTCTGAGTGAAGAAAGGCTTGGAGTTAAAAAATTATTTTTGTCAAAATGTCATTGTCTTATTGGACTGAAAGAATGCACATCAAATGTTCACAATTTAAATTGCCCAATGCATTAAAAGTCAGATGACAATGGACAGTCTAAGACAATTTTCTGCTGTTCATGTCTGCTCTTATTTTGTACTTAAAGGTATTTGACTCCTGTTGAGCAAAACCATCTACTCCACTTGGATTGCTAATGCACACCCAACCTTTACCAAGAAATAAGTGCAGGTTCAGGCCCTCTAAGAACTAAAAGACTTTTAGTGCCTCCTGCCCAAGCAGTAATTTTTAACAGTGATATTAATATCAGAACAAAGAAATAAAAATCTCTGATCAGCAAAGTATCTGTTATATATTTTGTGCTTCTAAGCTCATGTGGGAGAGGTTTTCATGTCATCATATGGTTTGTTGGCCTTTTGTTTGTAGACTTACAAAATGGTGGTCAGGTGTTGACGCTGACTAGAAGTAAATAATAGAAGAGGAGGCTACAGTCACCAGGCAGGCTAGCTGAGGATGACCATTAGCTGCTAGAAAACAAAGGGATGGAGCAGTTTTAAAAAGCACCATCTTGTTGGTTTTAGGGCCAAAAACACCCTTAAACTCTTCAGTAATACTGAAGAGCTTTGCTATATTGTGTTTTAGTATAGCACAGCAATCAGTTTTCTCATGAGGACTCCTCAAGAAAAGGGTAAATTGTGACATATATTGCCCCCATTGAAATAACTTATTAGTAGATATATAAAAATTTAGGATAAGCAAAACCAATTTATCTCCTAAGAGTTCTGAACAGTTGTGATTTTCAGCATATGAACATTTAGTCCTGGCATTCTGAACTCAGAAACCCAATAGAGTATTTCTTGACTCTTAAAATGTTTTATTTTTAACAGATATATTTTTGTGACCACAAACCTCCAAAATGCAGATTTTTTTTTTAATCTTTATTGTTGAATGGATGTTCCTCATTTTTCCCCCATTGACCCCCTCCTCCCCACTCCGGCCCCCCTCCTGCCTTTTCCCACACTGTTGTCTGTGTCCATTGGTTATGTATATATGCATGTAAGTTCTTTGGTTTGTTTCTTCCCACCCCCTAGACCCCCCTTCCCTTTGAGTTTTGTCAGTCTAGCAACCAATTTGTTCTTCTTTTTTTTAATCCTCACCCGAGGATATTTTTCCATTTTTTGTTCAGATAGAGTGGGAGGGGGAGAGAGACAGAGAAACATTGATGTGAAAGGGACACATCGAGTGGCCGCCACCCACATGACCCAACCAGGGCCAGGGACAAACTGCAACCGAGGTACATGCCCTTAGCGGGAACCGAACCCAGGTCTCTCTGGACTGCAGGCTGACGCTCTAACCACTGAGGCAAACCGGCCAGGGCCCAATTTGTTCTTCTTAATCCCTTCACCTTTTTCACCCATTCCTCCAACCCCCCTTCCATCTGGCAACCAACAAAATGTTCTCTGTATCTGTGAGAATGTTTCTGTTCTGCCTGTTCATTTTGTTTGTAGATCCCATTGTCAGTAGATACGTATTCATTGCCATTTTGTTTGTTCATATATTTTATCTTTTTATTCAAAAAGACCCTTCAACATTTCATATAATAACGGTTTGGTGGTGACAAACTCCTTTAACTTTTTCGTCTGGGAAACTCTTTATACGGTCATCAATTCTAAATGACAGCTTTACAGGATAGAGTAATCTTGGTTGTAGGTTCTTGCTTTTCATCACTCTGAATATTTCTTGCCACTCTTTTGTGGCCTGCAAAGTTTCTTTTGAGAAATCAGCTGACAGTTTTATGGGAACACCCTTGTAGGTAACTAACTGCTTTTCTCTTGCTGCTTTTAAGATTCTCTCTTTGTCTTGAACCTTTTGCATTTTGAGGATGATGTGTCTTGGTGTGGGCCTCTTGGGGTTCATGTTGTTTAGGACTCTCTGTGCTTCCTGGACTTGTATGTCTGTTTCCTTCACCAAGTTAGGGAAGTTTTCTGCCATTATTGTTTCAAATAGGTTTTCGATTTCTTGTTTTCTCTCTTCTCCTTCTGGCAACTCCAAGATGCATGCTTGAAGTTGTCCCAGAGGCTCCTTACACTATCCTCATTTTTTTGGATTCTTTTTCTTTTTGCTGTTCTGATTGGGTGTTTTTTGCTTCCTTATATTCCAAATCCATGGTTTGCTTCTTAGCTTTACCTACTCTACTATTGAATCTGTGTAAATTATTCTTTATTTCAGTTAGTGCCTCCTTAATTTCTGACTGGTCCTTTTTTATGCTCTTGAGGCCCTCACTAAGTTTGCTGAGGTTCTCACTAAGTTCATTGAGCATCCTTATCAGCAGTATTTTGAACTCAGTATCTGTTAGGTTGCTTATCTCCATTTTGCTTAGTTCTTTTCCTGGGGTTTTATTCTGTTCTTTTATTTGGGACCTGTTTCTTTGTCTCCTCATTTTGGCTGCCTCCCTGTGTTTGTTTCTGTGTATTACTAAATGACAGGTATGGGTCTGAGACCGGATGCTGCTTCTTTGAAAGAATTTAGGAAAACCTGAGGCAGGATCCAAAACAGGCCAATCCTATGGTTAAGCAACTGGCAACAGCTTGGGTGGGCCTGAAAGTTGAGTGGGGCGGGGCCTCAGGGAATCACCAGGGCGGGGCTACCAGTGTGAGCCAGGTTGCTGGAGTCCCAGATATGGCGGCTGTCTGCTGCCCCAGGGAAGGGCTCACCAAAGGAACAAAGGCCTCTGACAGCACATCTGTCCCAGGGAAAGCCCCCTCTCCAGCCCTCGCTCCAATGCCAAACAGCTCAGTTCTTCCCTGTATGTCTCTGGCGCCCTTGAGCTGCTTCCTTTTCAAGATAGAGGGAGTGAGTCCGATAAGTTCATGTGCGGGCCCTTTAAGGAGCTGCCTGGGGCTCCAGCTGCCTCAGCCTTCCTGAGCCTCAGTTCCCGCTGGTTTTTCCAGCCAGAAGTTATGGGGACTTCTCTTCCTGGCACTGCAACCCTGAGCAGGGCACCTGGTGTGGGACGGGGACCCCTCAGTCCTCAGAGAGGACCTTCCCAGCTGAGGTGTCCTCCTGATTTTTATCCGCCACACGTGGGTGTGGGACCAGCCCTTCCGCCTCCGCCCCTCCTACCAGTCTCGATGTGGCTGCTGCTTTAATTCTGTAGTTGTAGGACTTCCATTCAGCTTGATTTCAGGCGGTTTTGAATGATGGTTGTTCTGTAGTTTAGTTATAACTTTCCAAAAGGCAGATTTGTATTTTAAATAATTTATACTGATTTTTTATTGTCAAGTTAGTTATTTTTCTTTGTAAATAGATTATGCACTTAAGCTTGGATAATTCAACCTTTTTATTAACATTTTATTTTCTGTATCATAAAGGCCCTTTTACTTAACATGTTATATGCTCTGACTTAATTAACTTTAGGGATTTTACTCCAAATTCAGGGACTTGAGAAGATATATTTATACCTTGGTTTATTTTATTTTACTATAGCCTATATTTGAAAAGCAAAGTTATAAAGAAATCTGAATTTTAAAATCATGAAAAAGTTTGATGCCATTTTTTTTCTCAAAATACTTTTTAGAGACTCCCTTTTACTTAGGATAAAATTCAGACTTCTTAATGTGGACTCTCCCCACACTTGTGGCCCTTGCCTACCTCCCACTCCACCTTCCTTGTCACACACCTTACCAATTCCCATGCACTTCAGACCCAAGTAATAAAGAACAACTTGTATTGCTGGTAACAGGCCACGTTCTTTCATGGTCTGAGTTTACACACATAATCATATGGCAATCTAAAACACCCTCATCTAACTCTCATGTTCAAGCCACGCCTTCTCTGCAGTATCCCTACTAATTGATAATATTCTACTTAAATTTTACTTCTCTGGTGACTTCCCTAACCTCCTCAGGCAACTAGAGATTTCTTGTGACTTTTTCAAAGTTCATATTTTGTCTTACAACAGTTTTCCATTGTTAAAGTTGTTCCTGTGTTTTGTCTTCCCTAATAAACTAAGTCCTTCAACAACCAAAGAGAAAGCATCTTATTTACCTTTGTTTTCATAGCATATTTAGCCTAAAGCCTAGCACACAGATATTTCTCCAAAAACACAGGGTTGGTGGAAACAAATAGCAAGGGATTCCTCACACCTAAGCTGTAGATAGCTGTACCATTTCAATTGGAATCTTTGGAGTCTGGGGAACTAGAAGCAGCTACGAAAGTACCAGCATCTGAGCCATTCACTACTATTCCAAACTTGTCTGTGGACCTTGCATTACCAGTGCTCTCTTCAAGTTTCAGCTTTTGAAGTTGGCATGGCTTTATGAAGCTCCTTATTTATTTGCCTTCCTCGGTAAAAGAACTCAAACCTCTTTTTCCCACCCCTATCTGGTACCAGTCCCTGGGTAATTCATAATAGCTTGAAAAAGATAATGTAGGTATACTTTGCAGGTTTAGTAATAGTAACATTTAACATATATTGGGTGCTTACTGGGCAAATCTCTTTGCTTACATGTTTTTCATTTATCATCTTGTCTAAAACAACAATCTGATGAAATATATATGTGTGTGTGTGTGTGTATACTATTATCCCAATTTAACAAACGAGGTTCCATGAGATGAATTAAATTATCAAAGCCACACAACTAATTAAAGCATCCAGAATTTGAATCTAGTGTAACTTAGGAGCCCATTCTGTTATTCACTACCAATGAGTATTACCTGGCCATAACTGAAGCCCAAATAGCAGGGTACACTTTGAAATCACCTAGACATAAGTTCAAAATACATATTTTGTAGTGAATAACTTCACTTCTCTGACCTTTGATTTCCTCATATGTAAAAGGGTTATTGCCTTCCTCAGTGCATTATATATACTAAATAGTAAATGTTAGCTCCATTTGCTTTTTCTACACTTCTGTTCATGTGAGCTCTGAGATGATGGTGTGTACAGAATAAGACCTGGCATAAGAAGACAGATAAGCATCCTCTCTTCTATGTAGAACTACCATAATATCAACCAGTGCCCACCTTCCAGGATCTCCAAGTGTTTAATGACTATGATCACATTTATTCTCTTATGAGAAGAGTGTATTTTGAGTATTTCACAATTGTTAATTGCCCATAAATATATGGTAGTATAATAAAGATTAGAATCAGTGATCTGTCTACTATACTAGACTTCTCTTTTGCTAATTCTTAGGTAACATATAAGACCCTGGAGGTTGTTATTTAGTCTATAAAAGAATTGCCCCCATGATTCCATAACATAGACTTGTTAGCACCATTCAACAAAGAAAACTATAAACACAGCTGCTGTTTTGGTGTGGCTTGTGGTTTTGTTTTGTTTTTATTTGAACTTTTTTGTGCAGCCAGACTATCATTTAAAAGTAGTCATTTGGCATTATCCCTTGCATTCTTTAAATTTTTGTATGTTTTAAGAAGCTTAGCCTAAGTCACTTCTAAAATTATACACACAGGTTTATCTGGTTTTTTTATTAGTCAGTGAATTTTCTTTTACAGATACAAGAAACAGGAGAAGTATATTTTAAATCCTGTAACTTTAGTGTGTCTCTTATACATTTGAAGAAAAATATTTTTAACTATTAGAAAATAATTTTATATTTTTGATTGTCTTCCAATTTCTATATTTCCAGAGGTGCTGGTTAGGGCTTGAAATTTGTATTTCTACTCTTCACCTCTTTCATATGTTAAAACTCTGAAGCATACCATAAACACTTGTTTGCAACTGAAAATTGGTACAGCAGAAACGGCTGCTCAAAGTAGGCCCTTTTGCCCTGGCCAGTGTGGCTTAGTGCACCAAAGGGTTGCAGGATCGATTCCTGGTCAAGGGCATGTACCTGGGTTGCAGCTTCTATCCCTGGCTCCCATCAGAGCATGTGAGGGAGGCAGCCAATCAACCTCCCTCCCCCTCTCCCTCCCCCTCCCCCTTCCCCGCCCCCTCTCCCTCCCTCCCTCCCTCTTTTTCTCTCTCCCTCCCTCCCTCTTTTTCACTTTCCCTAAAAATCAGTGAAAAAAATATCTCAAACAGCCCTGGCCGGTTTGGCTCAGTGGTTAGAGCATCAGCCTGTGGTCCCGAGAGACCCGGGTTCGGTTCCCGCTAAGGGCATGTACCTTGGTTGCAGTTTGTCCCGGGCCCTGGTTGGTCGTGTGGGTGGCAGCCACTCGATGTGTCCCTTTCACATCGATGTTTCTCTCTCTCTCTCTCCCTCCTACTCTATCTGAACAAAAAATGTCCTCGGGTGAGGATAAAAAAAAAAAAAAAAATCTCAAACAAACAAAATGTAGGCCCTATTGCTCTCTCTGGACCACACTGGCTGTGAGGTGAAAGATGCATTGTCGGAAGCAAACCTAGATGCAGGGAGACAGGAATAGTAGTAGCCTGATCCAAGGAACTAAAAGTGATAGAATTAACGGAGTTTGTTGATGGCTTAGATGTTGCTAGGTATGACATAGAGGAGCCAGAGATAGATTTCTGGATTAGATGCATCATGCTCCTTACTGCTTGTTGTGTTTGCTCAACTCCTGCTTATCCTTAAAAAATTCAGTTTAGCCCTGGCCAGTTTGGCTTAGCAGTTGGAGCATCGGCCTGCGGGCCAGAGAGTCCCAGGTTCGGTTTCCGCTAGGGGCACGTACCAAAAAAAACAAAAATTCAGTTTATATGTTGCCTCCTGTGGAAGCCTTCCCACTCCAACTTCCAATGAGTTGAGTGACAACTATGAGCTTTTGTAACATCTGGCACTTCTCCATGAGAACATTTTTTTTTTTGTTGTGTACCTGTGAAATTACCCCACACCCAACATACACATTATCTTCACACTCTTAACTTTGCCTTGTGAGAACAAAGGCCATGTGTCTTACTCATCATCAATATCCCTGGCACCTAACATAGTTCTGGGGACAGCACCAGTACATTTTTAGTGGAGAAATAGTGTCAGCCAGCCAGTGTGGCTCAGTCCCATGAACTGACCTGGTTTGATTCCCAGTCAGAACACGTGCTCAGGTTTTGGGCTCAGTCCCCATTCGGGGGCATGTGGGAGGCAGCTGATTGATGTCTCTCTCTCACATCGATGTTTTTATCTCTCTCTCTCCCTTTCCCTCTCTCAAAAAAATCAATAAAATACTTTTAAAAAAGAAGAAATATAAACAACAAGAAATAAACTTGTGCTTAGTAGGTTTTGACAGTAACTTCTAAAAGATCCCCAAGATTGTTGATATCTAAAATATGAGGGTTTCAAGTCATAATAATAATTAATATTTTTTTAAAAATATTATAAGTGTTTAACACAGTTGGGACATTGTACTGACAAAGAGAGTCAGTGGGTTTCCTTTAAGTGTAGGTCATTTCAGTCAGGACTAGGTTATTTGATAAAGTGGATGGATCGTTATAAATTTATCACATCTTGAGGAAAATGCAGTGACACTTTATATTATAGCAACTAAACTTATACTTTAGAAGCAGATGGTCCAACATATCACTTAGATAATAATCAGTACACAAAAGTAAATTATAAAGATTAATTCAAGAAAGGGTAAAAGAGTAAGCCATGTAATTTCTCAGTACCATGGGGTGGAGGTCAGGAGAAAAGGGAAAAGATTTGCCCTCTCCAGCTTTACTTTACTCATCTTTAAAATGAGAGCAGTTAGCTCGTGATAAAGGATCGTTTCCAGCCCAGATTCTGCTCAGTAAAGTAGAAGAGAATGGTAGAGGTGGTATGTGGTAGAAATTTTGGTTGCAATTACAACTTAATGTTCATTCTTCCCATAATCTCACCTCTGTCTTGATAAGACCTAAATGTTAAAAATTCATTCAAATAAAATGTTTTTTTAAAAATACAAGTGATTTTTCTGATTTCTGCTTTGCAATCAATATTTTTAGCCTAATTTGGAGCAACAGTCTCCATCAAAATATTTAAGATGAATTATTATTACTTATCCTAATTCCAACTATGGAAAATGAGTTTTTACATTTAATAGTGCCATAAATCTGTTCTTCTATAGTTGTTTCTCTTTTAACATATGTTTTCCTTCTTTGGTTTAGATTTCTGCATTGGGACAGCCACACATCTAATTCCTTAAAGTAGTTTTATATGTAAAACTTGTAAAGGATCAGAACAATGCCTCCAAGACCATCATCCGGTGAACTGTGGGGCATCCACTTGATGCCCCCACGAATCCTAGTAGAATGTTTACTACCAAATGGAATGATAGTGACTTTAGAATGCCTCCGTGAGGCTACGTTAATAACTATAAAGCATGAACTATTTAAAGAAGCAAGAAAGTACCCTCTCCATCAACTTCTTCAGGATGAATCTTCTTACATTTTCGTAAGTGTTACCCAAGAAGCAGAAAGGGAAGAGTTTTTTGATGAAACAAGACGACTTTGTGACCTCCGGCTCTTTCAACCCTTTTTAAAAGTAATTGAGCCAGTAGGCAACCGTGAAGAAAAGATCCTCAATCGAGAAATTGGTATGATATACTTTTTTACTAAATGTCATTGTCATCATATTCTAAATGCAGATAACTGTGAAACTTCTTACTGAAATATTTCTGTTTGAACCAGTTAATTACCTTTGTAATCTTAATAAATAGATTTTGAAATAAAAATCATTGCAAATCTAAAGTATTTTTTTACTGTTGTGTTAAGGAACTATTTTTAACACCTTGATATTGTTCTATAAAGGTTTCTTTAAGAAGTATCTTTTGTATGGTTGACTTAGATTTGTTTTATCATTCTTTAAAAAATAACTGATATGGATAATGTTTTCTGCCTTTGCTCCAAATTACTAAATATATGTTTTATTAAAAGCTTGTTAACTCTTACTATATGTATTCATCAAAAATTTTTTAACCCAGAGAAACTTCTTTATTCTATTGTGATCTTCCAAATCTACCAAGTTTTTTTATGTATAAGAAACATTTTATACTTTGTATTTAACAGAATATTATATTCTTTATAAAATTTTTAAGGCTTTGCTATCGGCATGCCAGTGTGTGAATTTGACATGGTTAAAGATCCAGAAGTACAGGACTTCCGAAGAAATATTCTGAATGTTTGTAAAGAAGCTGTGGATCTTAGGGATCTTAATTCACCTCATAGTAGAGCAATGTATGTCTATCCTCCAAATGTAGAATCTTCACCAGAACTGCCAAAGCACATATATAATAAATTAGATAAAGGTAAGAAAATTTGCATTCTACCATAATTGGTTACTATAGTGAAAACTTCTATCTGTGCCCTTTTTTTTTTTAAATCCTCACCTGAGGATATTTTTCCATTTATCTTCCGGATAGAGTGGGAGGGAGGGAGAGAGAGAAACATCGACATGAGAGAGACCCATTGATTGGCCACCTCCTGCATGACCCCGACCAGGGCCAGGAACTGAATTGTAACCTAGGTACATGCCCTTGACCAGAATAGAACTCATGACTCTTTGGTCTGCTGTTAACCACTGAGCCAAACCAGCCAGGGCTGTGCCCACATTTTTAAATAGTCTTTTTTTTTTTTTTGTAATCTCAGTTACATGATAAGCTTCTTGAAGTCAGATACTGCTTATACTGACAAGATATAGTTGAGTGCCAAGTATACAACTTGTGTATAATAAATGTTTATTAGTGGAATGAATTGTGTGCATATGATGCTGATCCCTTGCTGAATTGTTTATCTCAGAATAAAATTAAATAACTTTGAATTTGAAATTCACTGCTATAGAATTACAGCTGATCATCTTTTTGCATGTAAAAACAAGTACAAATAGAAACATTTTATGAAGTTTTAGAAAAACTATAGACTTGTTATAAATCGTATATTCAAAGAAAAAATAAATTTCTTAATCTTAATGTTATATACACTAATTAAATCTGATCATGAGGTTGACTTTTGACATTTAATATATCAATTTCTAGAATTAAGTGAACATGCAAATATATAAACTATATTGTTTTTAAATGAAACTATCAGATAGGTATCTGTTTTTCAAGATATCAAAGTAAAGATTATTGTTTGTTTGTTTTTGTTTCCTTAATCTTCACTCAAGGACATGCTTATTGATTTGAGAGAGGAGAGAAGGGAGAGAGAGAGGAAAAAAAAAAAAAAGTATCCATCAATTGCCTTCTTATACACGCCTCAACTGGGGTTCGAACCTGAAATCTAGGTATGTGCCCTGACCAGGAATCAAACCCGAAACCTTGCCCTGACCGGTTTGGCTCAGCAGTTGGCACGTCGGCCCGCGGACGAGAGAGATCCAGGGTCGGTTCCCATAGGGGCACGTACCCTGGTTACAGTTTGTCCCCGGCCCCAGTTGGGGTCATGTGGGTGGCAACCACTCGATATGCTTCTCTCACATCGATGTTTCTCTCTTCCCCCCTCTCCCTCCCGCTGTGTCTGAAGATAATGCAGAAATGTCCTCGGGTGAGGATAAAAAAATAAAACAAAACAAACCTGAAACCTTTCGGTGTACAGGATGATGATACTCCAAACAAATGAGCCACACTGGCCAGGGCCAATGAAGGTTTTAATTTGAAGTTATAGAATAGGTTAACTCTCACACTCTGTTAAATATAAAGTTCTTTTAGTAAAATAAGTTGACATCAAATTACTATTTCACCCATATTATTCCAAATAGTTTAATGAAATATAATGTAACATCTTTATTTGAAATTCTTTTCTACTCCAGCATACTTTTTAAATTGGAACACTCTTTTCCTTTTTAGCCAATCTTTGTGGAAAAGTTTCCAACATATAAGATACTTGGGAGAATTGTATTGTGAATACCCAGACCATTCTAACAGTTTTAATCTTTCCATTTTATCATCATCTCTTTCTTTTTGTTCTCTGGCTTAATTGATCTTAAAAGGAAAAAAATAAGAAAATCTATCTTATTTTCCCTCCTCCCCCATCTTTTCTCTCATTCCGATTTAGCATCTTCCTTTAAGTCTCCATGATGTTTTCCCATTGTACCAAAAACTCTTCCACTTTTGAACCTTTGGTATACCATCATGAGTCACTCTTCATGGGGTTGTATCCATGATGTGTGCCATGCAGTTTAAAATGGAATTATCTTGATCTCAGGTACTTGTGACCCACTAGTCATAGTTTTGTATGCTTACCATAAAACACGAGATTTGGATATGGCCTGGCAGCCCTATTAGATTTGAAGATTTGCCTGTATTTAATCAGCTAGAATATAAGTCATTTCTCATTATGCTAGAGTAATGGTAGTGCATGCTTTTTTGAAATTTGTCTCTTGAAAACAAGTATATGTGATGATTGCATCTAATAATGCTTTTCTGTTATAGGGCAAATTATAGTGGTGATTTGGGTAATAGTTTCTCCAAATAATGACAAGCAGAAGTATACTCTGAAAATCAATCATGACTGTGTGCCAGAACAAGTAATTGCTGAAGCAATCAGGAAAAAAACTCGAAGTATGTTACTATCATCTGAACAACTAAAACTTTGTGTTTTAGAATATCAGGGCAAATATATTTTAAAAGTGTGTGGATGTGATGAATACTTTCTAGAAAAATATCCTCTGAGTCAATATAAGGTGAGTAACAAGTTTCAAATATATTAATTTTAAATTTAAAAAGTAATCACATTGGGGACTAGTGTCTATATTTTTTAAATATACTTTTTGAAAAATAATATTAAATAACATAAGTTTATTTTTACACAATAGTTATTTAATTTGAGAGGTTGATGATGAATTTAATTTAAAAGAATAGATGGTATTCTTCCTTTAAATTTTATGTAATTAATATTTGGGGATCTGACTATGTATGTAGACAAGCTGATTAACATTTTTGCAATTGTAACAATAGTTATATCATTATTCAGATACAAACATTTCATTTGGTGACTGTTTAATTGTGCGATGAGGTAAGATACAATGTTTTAGGTATTCTGCATGTGAAAAATGCATCATGTGCTTTTCTAGATGGTTCCAATTCTATAGCGGAAATACTTTTATTAGCCAGCAGGAATTTTAAATAATATGGAATTTGCACAGAAGGCTTTTCATGTGCCTTTAAAAAAGAAAAAAGAGAGAGATTTGTTGTATTCATTTGATTATGCAATGTAAGCAGTAATGTAAATGTGCCCTGTGTCAAAATAAGACAAACAAACATAAAAACATGTGGCAGTTACACTAACCTCAAAATATTTAGTATTTTATCTCCTCCCAAGCAATGACACTAACAATTAAACATTTCAAAAAATCTATGATTTACTGTTAATTAAGATATACTGTTAATATTGTTAATATTACCTTCCTTTCTGTTTCTGTTCCTTAAATAAATACCTATAAGAAACAGCTATACTTGTATCAAGTATATGCTAAGTACTGATTTACAGTACCAAGCAAGACATGGTTCTGGCCTTCAGGTTGCTTACAGTCTAGTGGACTTATGGGTAAGAAAATAGACTAGTATAATATGTACACAGTAGCATTTCTATTAGCAGTTTCTATTCTAACTACCACTTTGTAGATCAAACCAGTGTGTTTTAATATATTTTTAAATACATCCTATGTTTTCATCAGTCTCCTCTTTGTGTTTTGTTTGTTTTGTTATTTACTTTTTAGCAAAATAAATATTTCTCAAGAAATATTGTGACAGGAGAGCCAGGGGGGAGCAACCCTTGGATTAAACATCAATATGACTTAATAGATAGAATGATAGAAGGTTACTAATTGATGTTGCTTTTCCTTTAACAAATGCAGTGTTTTCATAATGAATATTCTCTGATCCTTTTTTTTCTTATAGTTAAAGGTAGAACTAGAGTGTCAAAAACTGACCTCGTTTTTTTTCTTTTTCTTTCTTTTATACATTTATATTCCAATAAGTGTTTGGTTGATCCTGTGCTATAACCTAACTCCCAAATGTTAGTATTTTAAATGTCAAGTATAGCAACTGCTAAGATATATGATTTATAATGTTTGATGTTTTTATCACCTTTGCAGATTAGTACATAAATTCTTTCATAATACTCTTACATGTTGCTTTTAAAATGAAAAATCCTATTAAAAAATGGCTTCTCCCCATCTCTCTTAATCTTTTACAGTATATAAGAAGCTGTATCATGCTTGGGAGGATGCCCAATTTAATGCTGATGGCTAAGGAAAGCCTTTATTCACAGCTGCCAATGGACTGTTTTACAATGCCATCTTATTCCAGACGCATCTCCACAGCTGCACCATATATGAATGGAGAAACTTCTACAAAATCCCTTTGGGTTATAAATAGTGCGCTCAGAATAAAAATTCTTTGTGCAACCTATGTAAATGTAAATATTCGAGACATTGACAAGGTAAAGTCGTGTTCATGCTTATTATCTTATATAAACTTTTTTATTGAACTAAATAATAATCTGTTGACCTGCAGTATGTTTTCAGATGGCTAGAAAACTACCCATCTACCTCAGCTATTACACAGCTTGTGGTCCTTTGTCCATAATTCTAATATCCCTAATTCTAATAGTTCTAATGTTCATAATTCTAAGCTCTTAAAACCAAAAGTTTTACAGAATTTATTTGGCAGGAAAACCTGACTCAACCTGAAGCGAGGTTTTTTATATCTTTATTGATCTCACTACTATAAATATTTGTGTTTTTTGTTGCAGAAATATTTATATATTTATGGGTGTTCTAACTTCTAATAGTATTAAGTAATTTTTAGTATATGTGCCAATTTATCTTTCTAAAATATGAAAAACTCTGATTTCCATACCTGTCCTAAAGGTGAGCCTATATTGATTTTCATTAGTCTGATGTTCCCCTGGAAACAGCAACAACTTTTGGTGAAGAATCTGCATCAGTGTTAACTTATTATGTATGTGAAGGAAAGGAGAACTGAAAAGCTGCATCTGAACAGGAATTTCTAATGGATTCTCATTCATATCAGTTACACTATTTTAATATTGTTAATATTGGTTCTGTCTAGTATGTACAGGGTGGGACAAAAGTTGGTTTAGAATTTTGAGTACACAAAACACAGAGTTTATTCTTGTGTTATTATTTATTAATTATTATATTATTTTCCATGCAAACAACTATAAACCCAATTTTGCCCCACCCTATATGTGTGCATATATTATATATGTATGTTTGTATATATTTGTAGACACATACTTTTCTCTTTTTAGATCTATGTTCGAACAGGCATCTACCATGGAGGAGAGCCCTTGTGTGATAATGTGAACACTCAAAGAGTACCTTGTTCCAATCCCAGGTAAGGAAGTATATGGATTTCCGTCTTCAGAAGTCATATTAGCGTTTAGCAATGTCATCATTTAAAGTCGTACAGTTTACATTATCTGTTTTCTGCAAGTCCTAGAAATTACCAGACATTTACATATAGAACATAAGGACTTTCTGTCAAATTACAGGATCAGTTTATTGATTCTCTATAAATTTTATCTATAGGGTTTTTCTGATTCATCCCACTGTATTAAGGAGAGAACAAAATACGGTTACAATTTTGTACTGATGATTCCCCCACGTTTGATTTTAAAATCTAGCATTTTATTTTTTTTTTTATCTCCATCATCATTTACACTTAGAATAGCTGAGAGTGGGCGGACAGCTCCAGAGCCAGACTACTCTGAGGCAGTTTTGGCACATTACTCCCAAGAACAGATAAATATGACATTCAAATAAATCAGTTTCTTAGGAGGAGGGGGCATTCTTGGGAACATTTAAAATTATTACTGCCTAGATATAATGACGAAGTAAAAGGCAGTATATTCCAACAGCTTGCCATCCTGCCATTTCTTTGCCTCTCTCTATAGAATGATTTGGGATAAGAGTCTATCCCTGAATATAATAGTAATATTTTAAGAGAACACAAATTGGTATTAAAGATTAAAGATGGATTTAGTGGAGTAGCAACCCTGCTAACTAATAAATTATCCTGAAATAAATTTCATAATGAATTTAGGCTAAATTATAGGAGAGTCAAGAAAAAGTTTTGATTTTTGTAATTAAGTTGCTAGAAGTGGCTATCATTCTAGAGTTAGGTAGTTCAAAGAGATGGTAACCTCACCCTACTTGAACTGTGATGTCATTCAAGTTAGAACTTATGCTGTGGCAACAAACATCCCCAAGATCTTTTAAAATTTATGTTAGAACAACAAAACTTCATTTCCCATTTGTGCATAGCTGTCGCAGGTTCCGTGTGGTTGTGCAAGGAACAGCAAACCAATATTTGAGTGGAGAATGGCCAAAATTTTTCTAATTTTGATGAAAACCATAAAACCAACAATCTAAGAGGTTCAACAAGCCTGAAGCAAAAACCCCAAAATAATATTGGGTAGATTAATTCTAGTTGTTTCAAAACCAAAAAGTAAAGCTAGCTTTATAAAAGTAAAATATAAGTTTATTTAATGATATAAAATTAAAATGTCAACATTTTAGTTAATTAAAGAAGCTATTTGAAAAGGACTTATAGTCCAGCTGATGTGGCTCATTGGTTGAGCATCAACCCATGCACCAAGAGGTCTCCTGTTCAATTCCCAGTCAGGATACATGCTTAGGTTGTGGGCCCCGATCCCCAATGGGGGGCATGTTGGAGGCGGCCAGTCAACGTTCTCTCTTATCAGTGTTTCTATCTCTCTCTCCTTCTCCCTTCCTCTCTATCTAAAAAAATTAATAAAGGAAAAATAAATAAATAAAAAAGGCCTTACAGCCCTGGCTGGTTTGGCTCAGCCATTCAGAGCGTCAGCCCTCAGACTGAAGGGTCTTGGGTTTGATTCCCTGTCAACAGCACATACCTAGTTTGCAGGTTCAATCCCCAGCCTCAGGGTCATGTAGAGACAGCCAACTGATATATTGCTCTCACATCAATGTTTCTATCTCTCCCTCCCTCCCTTCCACTCTATCTGAAAATCAATGAAAAAATTTCCTCAGGTGAGATTTAATAATAAATAAATGAATAAATAGCCCTGGCCGGTTTGGCTCAGCGGTTGGAGCATCGGCCTGCGGTCTGGAGAGACCCGGGTTCGGTTCCCGCTAAGGGCACGTACCTCGGTTGCAGTTTGTCCCCGGCCCTGGTTGGTCGTGCGGGTGGCAGCCACTCGATGTGTCCCTTTCACATCGATGTTTCTCTCTCTCTCTCTCTCCCTCCTGCTCTATCTGAACAAAGAATGAAGAAGTGTCCTCGGGTGAGGATAAAAAATAAATAAATAAATAAATAAATAAACAAACAAACAAATAGGATTTATATTTGATCATCTTTTCTTCAAGAATTCTCTAAAAGGTAATCGATGGTAGCAGTATGAATATTTAAGTAAATTTTTAAATTTTTTTCTGTATTTTCCAAAAAAAATTAGAGATAAAAGAAAATGATATTGGATTGAAACGTAAATATTAAAAAATTCTTGCTGAAATTAAGTAATTGTTTCAAATACTGTACTTCCCAGATGCTAAATAAATTACTTTATGATTTCTTTATAAATGTACCAGTTATCTTCCAAAATCAGAATCAGTTTGGATTATGTGTGTATATATATAATGTGTGTGTGTGTGTGTGTATAAATAAACAACGCCTAATAATAAAGAACTTAATTGGTGTTTGTGTGTGTGGACTTGAGAAGAAGAAACATGCTTTATTCACATAGTACTATAAACAACTACATTCATAGGATATCTCTTTTGGAACGTGTATAGAATATTTCTCATTAACTCTGAGCAAGTCTAAAGATTAAGAAGTAATTAAAAATTCTGGGTACATTTACTTATCAAATCCCACAGTATTTTTTTCCCTGCATGTGTTGTTTCTTTATCCTTTAGAATTTTTTCTTGCTAAGTTCCCCCATTTTAAACATGTCTTCTCTGTATAAGTGGATCATTTTTTAAAGAATTTTCATCCATAATTGAGCAAAGATACTAGAATACATAAAACTTATTTTACTGATAAAGTTTTATACATTAGTTTGGCTAATTAAAAATAGAATTTTTATACCATTTTGTTGTTAATTGATCTTGTTTTATTTATAGTAAAAAATAGAACAGAATTTTGAAGAAGCCACTTAAAAAGTTTTCAAAATCAGTATTGCACTTGAGCTCTTACCACGGACTAGTTATTCTTCTAATAGATTTACTTACGTTATCTCATTTAATCTTCACAATAACTTTATGATAGTAGGTACTGTTAGTAGTCACATTTCCAAGACGAGAAAACAGACGTGAGGCTCACACCTGTAGTAAAATAGTAGAAACAAGATTCTACTCTAGGTACTGTGACTTCCAAGTTCATACTCTTAACCATTGCTATAATCTTTTTTTAAAAAATAACAGCTATCTATTTTGCTTGGCTCTTTACAGATTTACCCACCAAATATAGACATTATTTCACATGTAACACCCAGTAAATTGAAGGGAATTTATTGTTAAAATTTGAAAAAATTGTTGTTATCACTTTTTATAGTAACTTTTTATTCTTATTATGAGTGTCAAGTTTTATTACTTGTGAAATAGTTCTAAAATTCAAATACTTTCTGTTAACATATCCTTTATTTAATACTGACTTATTTAAATGAATAAAACTATGTGTATAAAAGTAATTAAATATCATTATAATCATAATAGGAAATTTCATTTTATCTTATTTAGTTTTCCTTTTCTATTTGCCTTTTATAAGCTAATTTGTTTGGGGGGGTATTTCTTTAAGTATATAGCACAAATGCACAAAAAGTATACACATCATCAGTGTACAGTTCAGTGAGTTATCACAAAGTGAATACCCATAAAACTACTACTCTGATCAAGAAATAGGACATTTAGCCTGACTAGCATGGTTCAATAGATTGAGTGTCATCTCATGGTGTGAGAGGTCCCGGTTAGATTCCCAGTCAGGGCACATGCCTGGGTTGTGGGCTCGATCCCCAGTAGAAGGTGTGCAGGAGGCAGCTGATCGATGTAGCTCCCTCACATCAGTGTTTCTATCTCTCCCTTCCTCTCTCTCTCTAAAAAATTAATGAAAACATATTTAAAACAAAAAAAGAAATAGGACATTTAACAGTATTCTAAAAGTTCCTCGTCATGCCCCCTCTCAGTCCATTAATCTTCTCTCCACACTAAATGTAACTGCTATCCTAACACTATTGGTTAGATTTGGCTTTTTAAATTTTATGTAAATGGACTCAAGGAGTACATATTCTTTTGTATCTTTTTTCACTTAATATGTTTGTAAGATTTTGTTCACGTTGTAACTGGTGTTTATGAGATTTCCTGTTACTACACATTCTAACCGCCTGTTGGTATCATCGATCTTTATAGTTTTAGCCAATCCTTACACAGTGAGAGCTCTGCGACATTTTACTTCCCATTTTCTGTATGACAAATGGTATTGACTGCTTTGTCACGTTTATTGGCCATTTGGATATGATCTTATGACGTGTGTTTCATTCAATCTTTGGCCTATTTTTTGTTTTCTTTGTTTTTCTTGATGGTTTGTAGGAATCATTTGTTTGCAATGGATAAAACCTTTTTCAGTAAAAATTTTTTTCTTTAACATTTTACATAGGTGGAATGAATGGCTGAATTACGATATATACATTCCTGATCTTCCTCGTGCTGCTCGGCTTTGCCTTTCCATTTGTTCTGTTAAAGGTCGAAAAGGTGCTAAAGAGGTAAAGTATTTTAGAAGAAACAATATATTCACCTTTAAAAACTCTAAATTATACAGCTTATTGTATTTTTATCAAGAAATGAATATTTGACTTTATCTAAAATAAATAAATAAATATATTTAAAATTTTTAATAAATAAATGTATCATAGAGGAATACCTTTGGAGAGCTTCTAGAATTTATTTATGAGTGTGCTTTGAGGTCATATTGATACATTTTTGTTGTTGTTGTTGTTGTTAATCCTCACCCAAGGATATTTTGTTTATTGACTTTTAGAGAGAGTAGAAAGGAGGGAAGGGCAAGAGAGAGGGGGAGAGAGAAAGAGAAACATCAATTGGTTGCCTGCACGAGCCCCGACCCGGAATCAAGCATTGGTCCATAGGCTGCCTCTCTGACCTCAGAGCCAAATTGGACAGGGCTTGATACAATTTTTGAACATGCAGAGTGGCTACACACAAATATCTGTTAAGTGACTACATGCAAATATCTGTCTTGCTTGCTTTGGTTCATATTTCCTAGTAATAATTAGGGAAAATACATGTAATATCAAATGGGAAAAAGGAAAGTAACTTACTTATACTTTGAAAAAATTAATATGGTTTGTTATAGACAGTGTTACGGAGATAGTTGTTGAATTCTCCTTTCTGGGAAAGAAAAGTGTTTTGAAATGGCTCTAATAATTTAACCCACAGAGCAGTAAATATTTTTTGGTTTGTTTGTGTGTTTATTTTAAGGAACACTGTCCATTGGCATGGGGAAATATAAACTTGTTTGATTACACAGATACTCTAGTATCTGGAAAAATGGCTTTGAATCTTTGGCCAGTACCTCATGGATTAGAAGATTTGCTGAATCCTATTGGTGTTACTGGATCAAATCCAAATAAAGTAAAGTTTTTATTATTATAAATTAGAATCTTTTTCTTTTTTTATGACAGTCAAACACAACATATATATAAAATAACTTTTATCCTATCTCTTAGGAAACTCCATGCTTAGAGTTGGAGTTTGACTGGTTCAGCAGTGTGGTCAAGTTTCCAGATATGTCAGTGATTGAAGAGCATGCCAACTGGTCTGTGTCCCGAGAAGCAGGATTTAGTTATTCCCATGCAGGACTGGTAAGGCAACTCATTTGAGTTTTCTTGAGTATTAGTCGTAATCAGTGGATTTGGGTACATGCTCTGTACAGAATGGGTGTCATGTGTTTTAGTTTCACTGTCATAGCTACTGCAGGCTCTTGGACAGTATTACAATACAATATTTTTTATTGCAGCCCTGCCTCTTCATACTTGATTCAGAGCTCTAGCCTGCCTTCATTTAACAAATATTATTGAATGCTAACTCTATGTATGTATTATTGTGATACATTCCAGGTAATAAAGTTGTGACCTAAAGAGACCTCCATTGGGTATGCAGTCTAATGGTGAAGATAGACATTAAATAGGTAAAAGCAAAAATGTAAGATCAGAAATCATAGTAATCGCAATGAAGGAAAAAAAAATAGTGTGCCAAAAATGACTATCTGAGGGACAGGAAAGAAAAGCTAATATTGGGTTCAGAAAAGAACTCTCTGAAATAGTAACCTTGAAGTTCAACCAAAGTATAAATATATTGTTAGGTGAGCTTGGAAGCAGAGGATGTTGCTTCACCACCATCCCCTAGAAAAGAGCATATATAAAATAGAATTTAATATTGATTTAGTTGTATGATCTTGGCCATAACTTTGGAACCACAATATAACTGGGTTTAAGGACCATTAACTCTCCCTTATTTCTCAAGGGCAAAGGTGTCAGAAGATGGTTTTTGTTGTTATCTTTTTTTCTACTTTTCAAATGTACCACTTTTTCTTTGGCCTAGTTGTAGGTCATTGATAGACCAGCCAATGAATATGGGGCCAAGAGGTTCTGCCTACTGCATTGTACATATTCCTGTGTTGCAATAACAGCACCCAGGGGCAGCCAGCAATCCCGCACTTAAGACCTTTCAGTGAGGAGTTTACCAATCCCTTTTGTAAACTGAATAATAATAATAACCTTTACCCTTCCTGCCTATGCACTTTCAAAAATATATAAAAGGTATTTTAAGTACAAATAGATTTAAAATCACTACTGAATTTTGTCAGATACTGAAAGTATAATTACCTTTTTTGACATCAAAAAGAGATTCTTTTTCTTGAAAGATGTAGCCACTATTCTGTAAGTTTAATTCCCTGATGATAATTACTAATGTCTATCAAGTGATTACTGTGTACAAATGCCGTATCAATCACTTTTCACATATTATCTCATTAATCTCAAAAGCAGTCCTGTGAAGATAGGTACTATTTTAATCCTATTTCACCAGTAAGGAAAACAGGCTTAAGGAGTCTAAAGAACTTTTCTAATGTCACCATTTAATAAGTATTGCGCATCATACTCTTAACCATTCTGTTATAACTGAATAGGAATTCCTCAGTTTTTAAATGGGAGTTAAAATACTGATAAGCATTCTCATGACACGTCCATATCCCTGTCCAATTAGTTATACCTATAACTGGAAGGAAAAAGGTGATGTAGGAATTTTAAAATCCTTGGATTCATTATTCTGATTGGTATCTGTAAGGGTAAAAATAGAAATGTTTTACAAATGTGAAGCAAAGAAGATGGCCATTCTCACTAACAAAATTGTGAGACATCCAAGTTTTTCAAAAATACTAATTTTGACACATAAGTACAAGAAGAACCAGAAGTAATGATAAGCTAAAACTTATTAGATATGTATTAAAATCTGGACTTAGTGTCTACAAGACGTCTATGTTCCAGGCTCATGCAGGACAGTTGATGAGCAAGCAGTTAGTTAGCATTCAAAGGATGTTGCTTATTTTGGATTATAACCTTAGTTTTACTATGTTTAAATTCTTACCAAGTTGTTATATAATTGTTTTCACCGTCACTTTATTCTTCTCTAAGTTATTCCATATTAAAAATATAAAGAAATAAAAATAAGTAAATAATATGAAAGAATTAAGAGTCCATGGGCCCAAGATGGTAAATGGCAGTGGCTATTTTTCCTTGTGAATTAAGGGTTAAGCATTTATTGTCTCTTACCTGAACTATTTCAGTAGCCTCCTGACTGGTCTCCCTCCTTCTATAGAGCACCCAGAATAATCTTTATTTACTATTATTATTATTTTTAAACCTCACTTTAGGATATTTCTCCATTTATCTTCAGATAGAGTGAAAGGGAAGGAAGGAGAAAGAGAAAGAGAGAAACATCAGTGTGAGAGAGACACATCAGTTGGTTGCCTCCCGCATGACCCCAACCAGGGCCAGGTATTGAACTGCAACCGAGGTACATGCCCTTGACCAGAATTGAACCGAGACACTTTGGTCCGAGGACCAACAATCTAACCACTGAGCCAAACCGGCCAGGGTCAGAATAATCTTTATTAAACATAAATAAAATCATGACATTCATCATTTAAATAACTTTTACTCCAAGTAAAATCCAGACCTTTTACCCTGACTGGCAAATTTCACATGCTATGACCATGATCTTCTATGACTCCTCTTCCTCATCTACTGGGCGTCAGGCTCACTGGCCTTCTTCCTGTTCCTCCTTTACACTGAACGTTCTCTCCCTAAGGTGCTTTCATTGTTCCCTCCATCTGCAATAGTCTCTTCCTGATCTTAGTATCAATGGCTCTTTCTTGTCATTTGGATCACAAATTAAATATTACCATCTCATAGGGTACAGACTGACAGTGCCCAGAAGAAGGGGGGGAGAGGGGAGGGAAGAGAAACCACAGAACTTATATGCATGTATGCATAACCAATGGACATGGACAACAAAGCTGGGGATGGGGCGGGAAGAGGGGGAGGGTGTCAATGGGGTAAAAAAGGAGAAACATCTATAACAAAAATAAAATTAAATAAATAAATATTACCTTCTCAGAGGCCATTTCTGAACACCCAGACTAGAGTAGTCACTCAGCCATTCTCTGTCACATCACCCAGAGTAATTAAATCAACTCGCCAATATTTTTCTTATATGTTCATTTAATTTTCCACTATAATGGAGGCCCTGTTAGTGCAGGTTCTTTTACAATTTTATGACCCCCAACAGTAATAAAAGAGAAGGCACACGGTACATGTTTTAATAAATATTTGTTGAGTAAATACGTGCCAGTAATAATTCTTGATGCTATTAGATATATTAATGATGTTTAAATGTATAAAAACCTAGTAGCATGGATGTTTGTTTTCATTTTTAGCCATTAGGAATATGCGATGTGAATACATCAAAGGGATGTATAATTGTTTTTTATAATACATTAATGTGAATTTATAATTGTTTAATATGTAGTTAATATATCTATATTTAAAGGAAATAAATACATTACTTGGGATCTTGGAAATATAACAAAAGTTATGGTGTTTTATTTTAGTTCTTGAACACGCAATGTACATGGTTTTGATTAGGGTATTTCTCCTCCTTTTTTCCCTTATTTATTTTTACTTTTTAAATTTGAAAGCCTTAGAATGATTATAAGGATGTATTCAAGCAAAGATTATGAAAGAATTTATATTTTAATTTTATCATTTTACTATGTCATATTCTCTTATTCCAGAACATTAGTAGATTACTAAGAAGGGTCCTCATCAGCAAAAGAAATAAATTATTCACCACTACCCCCTAGTATTCCAATTGTGTTACCCCAATTGCAGTTACTGTTCTGTGATTGGTGGTGATGTTAACCAAGTAAGTTACTGGGTTTGTTCCACAAATACTGTCAAGTTGATTCTTCCCTATTCCTGAAAATAAAAAAAGAAAGTCTTGTCATGAGACTAGTAAACTGTTTCATAGCAGTTAATAAACAGTGTAAAGTTTAATGACAATTTGTGTGTGTGTGTCACTCATGAATCCTGGGTAAAAAAAATATAACAGAAAATCATATAAGATATTATTTTAATTTACAGAGTAACAGATTAGCTAGAGACAACGAATTAAGGGAAAATGACAAAGAACAGCTCCGAGCAATTTGTACCCGAGATCCTCTGTCTGAAATCACAGAGCAAGAGAAAGATTTTCTGTGGAGCCACAGGTAAGTGTTCAGATGAAGAGTCTCTGTTTCTTATGTTACAGAAGAGAAGAAAGAATTGACTTGGACTGGTGTTGCCTTTTTTCTGCTATACCTATTAAAGTAAATAAGCATAATATACATGACTTTTTTATATGAACATTATCCTTTTTAAAGCTGTAGATATATAGATCAATATCTCTAGAAAATCATGCTCCATTGGTACTAACTTTGTACATTGAAGTCTTTTTTTTAATGATTATTTATTTTTATCCTCACCCAAGGACACTTTTCCATTTTTGTTCAGATAGAGTGAAGGGAGAGCGAGGAAGAGAGAGAGAAAGAGAGAGAAACATTGACGTGAAAGGGACACATCAAGTGGCTGCCTCCTGCACAAACACCAGCCGGGTCCGGGGACAAACTGCAACAGAGGTACGTGCCCTTAGCGGAAGCCGAACCTGGGTCTCTCTGGACTGCAGGCCGATGATCTAACCACTGAGCCAAACCGGCCAGGGCTGTTTTTAATTATCAATTGCTGAGATCTTTTTAGGATTTGGTTTTCATTTTTGTTTTTTAATAAAATTCAAGATGCAAAAAAATATCCTATAGTTTAGATCAGTTTTGTTGGTCTAGGCAGTTCCATTTTTAAGAGCTCCCTTATTTTCCTTTTTTTCTTACACTTCCTCAAAGTAATAGTTTAATGCCTTTTTTATACTTATGAAGAGATTATCATACTACTTGGTAAGTGAGACTTTTATTTAAATAAAGAAATTGCAGTACACTTCTGCAGAAGTTCATTAAAACATAAATTCTTTCCAGTGGAAGTGGTGACTCTTCTTGTTCAAGTTGCCTAAGTGGGTGAATAAAAGGGGCTATGTAAAGAGTGTTATAAAATAAATTCATAATTTTTTCTAAGTACCTGTCTTCCATTTGGATTTTTCTTTTGCCTTTCTTGCCACTGTAACTGTATCTAAGTACATATGTACATATTTATGCAACAATGTTAAACACTGATTTATTTTAAGGAAGGCTAGTAATGGTAAAATGTTTTAAAAAGTGTTTAGAACTTCTTAAAGATTGCATAGTTGAAATTTTAGACATCTAAGCCTTTGGAATAACATGCAAGAATGTTTTTTATTTTGTTTTATCTTCTCCACACAGACACTATTGTGTAACTATTCCTGAAATTCTACCCAAATTGCTTCTGTCTGTTAAATGGAATTCTAGAGATGAAGTAGCTCAGGTAAGTACATGTTTGAGATTACTGGATAACTTGCACAGAATAGGTACGTTGCTCAGATTACTTTTCTGTCAGAAAGTCTGCATAGATATGAGATGAAATACACTGTTTTACATTCATTAATAATAGTAACAAGGTCGAGCAAAATACCATTCACATAACCTCCACTGATAAAATTAATTAGAACTGAACATTTTAAGCACTAAATTCATAAGGGGACTTTTATCTAAACTAATTTTAAAATAAGAAATTAAGACAATGTCTTAGAAGATTCACTCACAATTATTTTTGCTTTATAAATATGATTTATGGTCTTTCTCATGCACAGATGTACTGCTTGGTAAAAGATTGGCCTCCGATCAAACCCGAACAGGCTATGGAGCTTCTGGACTGCAACTACCCAGATCCTATGGTTCGAGGTTTTGCTGTTCGATGCTTGGAAAAATATTTAACAGATGACAAGCTTTCTCAGTACCTAATTCAGCTAGTACAGGTAAAGTAATGTAAAAGAGAAAAATAATGTTTTATTCTAAATCCATGCAACTTCCAAAACCTACTGTTTTAAATGGTTTTATGCTTTTTAAAAAATCAGTTTTGTTACTGGTAGTATCTGCTTTCTTAAAAAATTATCTTTAAATCCAACCATGCCAAACCTGACCTTGATTGATATAAAGTTGTTTTTATGTTTGTTTGTTTTTAAACACATAGGTACTAAAATACGAACAGTATTTGGATAACCTACTTGTGAGATTTTTACTCAAAAAAGCATTGACTAATCAAAGGATTGGGCACTTTTTCTTTTGGCATTTAAAGTAAGTCAAACTATTTTCCCATTAAATTCAGATACATATTATTTTCTTAAAATGTGTGTAAATATATTTACTTATATACTATAGTTTTTGTTTATCTGGAAGAGTTTTCCATACTGAAAGTATATTGTACCAATGATGGGTTTCCCCTCAACCTTTGCTTTTTAACATTAAATAAGCAGTAAAATGAAAAACTGAATTTTTCTACAAGAATGAGAGCTGAAATTTTTTTTTTAATTTTTTTTTTTTATTGACTGTAAAGAGAGAGGAAGTGAGAGGGATAGAAACATCAATAAGAGAGGACATCAGTTGGCTGCCTCCTGCATGCTCCCCACTGGGGATCTGGCCTACAACCCAGGCATGTGTCCTGATGGGTAATCGAACCAATGACCTCTTGGTGCATGGGTCAGTGCTCAACAACTGAGCCACACCGGCCAGACGAGAGCTGAAATATATTTATTTTTGATTTTTATTTTTTTAGAGAAAGGAAGGAAGAAAGAGATAGAAACATCAGTGTGAGAGAGAAACATCAATTGGCTGTCTCCTGCACACCCCCTACTGAGGACTGAGCCCACAACCTGGGCATTTGCCCTGACCAGGAATTGAACTGGGACCTCTCCGTCCGTGGGATGATGTTCAGTCTACTGAGCCACACCGGCCGGGCAAGCTGAAATATTTTTTTAAGATTTTGTTTCCTGTCTAAGCAAAGTTAAATTTGCTGGATTAATGTTGATTAATGGTGTATTTGGTTTTACTGTATGTGTAGGTTAAAATATCCCAAAATAAAGAGAAGAATTTTACCTTGGAATTTAGAAGAATGACAAAAATCTCAAGTTTCTTATTAGAAAAGAAGCCAATTAAGAATAGAAAAAAAAAAATGTAGAATAAGATATATCTAATACTCAAAGTTAGGGGTCATAAACATACACTTTTTTCTAAATTTAGAAACAGATTTATTAACATGGTTTCATTAAATGTTAAAATAAATTTAAAGTAAAACCTAGAAGCTGGGTTTAAAATAACTTAAATTCAGATGTGCTTTGATGTGTTTCTCTTTAAGTTAGTTGAGCTTCTGAGATTTCTGGATTTATAATTTTTATTATATTGGGGAAAGTATTGTGTATTTAGCAATGTTGCCTAATAAAGTTTCACTCCCCACCCCCCCCAAAACATATATGTAATAAAATAACAAATCTAGAGATAGTATAGAAAAAGAACGTGTGTGCCAGCAGTCACATGGTATTCACTGAGTTCTGAACTCCCTCCCTATTTTATTTTTGTGCCTACTTTTCCTTTTTTCATGTTTAAATATCTTGTGCTGACATTAGTTAATAAAAAGTAGTTGAGCCCTGGCCGGTTTGGTTCAGCGGTTAGAGCGTCGGCCTGCGGTCCAGAGAGACCCAGGTTCGGTTCCTGCTAAGGGCATGTACCTCGGTTGCAGTTTGTCCCCGGCCCTGGTTGGTCGTGCGGGTGGCAGCCACTCGATGTGTCCCTTTCACGTCGTTGTTTCTCTCTCTCTCTCTTCCTCTTTCTCCCTCCCACTCTATCTGAACAAAAAATGGAAAACAATGTCCTCGGGTGAGGATAAAAAAAAAAAAGTAGTTGAGCCCTGGCTGGTTTGACTCAATGGTTAGAGCATCTGCCTGCAGACCAAAGGGTCTCAGGCTCAATTCCTGGTCAAAAGCATGTACCTTGGTTGCAGGTTTGATCCAAGGCCCATGTCGGGGTTGTGCAGGAGGCAACCAATCAATGTCTCTCTCTCACATCCATGTTTCTCTTTCTCTCCCTCCCTCCCTCCCACTCTTACCTAAAAATCAGTGGGAAAATATCCTCAGGTGAGGATTAACAAAAAAAAAAAAGGAGTTGAAATAAACTAGTTCATTAAATTAATGTTTGTAAGAACTACCTGAAACCCTTGTTTTTCTTCTAAATGATAGGTCTAAAATTATTTTATTGTTAGTAGGATTATAACATTTATTGGATTTAAAAAAATATTTTTAATTTTCTTTAAAATGATGTATATACTCATTTGAGACTATAAATATACATGCCCTCTGCCTTTATTTTTTTAATCTTGCACCGTTCCTCTAGGTCTGAGATGCACAATAAAACAGTCAGTCAGAGATTTGGCCTGCTTTTGGAGTCCTACTGTCGTGCATGTGGGATGTATTTGAAGCACCTGAATAGGCAAGTGGAGGCTATGGAAAAGCTCATTAACTTAACTGACATTCTCAAACAAGAGAAGAAGGATGAAACTCAAAAGGTATGTGACTCTTTAGCTTGTTTTGAAACTCTTCATTGCATGTGGCAGGGTTATTTGAGAGCCCAGCATAGAGGAGTGGGCCGAATTGGGTTTGCAGCTGTGAGTATGCAAATAATTAAGTTATTTATTTATTATTGTATTGTTTATTTGTATTCTTTCCATACAAATACTGTAAACCTGCATTCGCTCACCTCTGTATTATGCAGATCATGCGTTTTTAGAATCAAGCATATTAGGACTTGGATCCATTGCCACCAGCTCTCAGCACTGCAATGTTAGACACATAATTTAGTCTTTTAGATTCATCTTTTCCATCTGTAAAATGGGAATAATAGTTTCTTCATAGGGTTGTCATGAGAATTAAATTATATGAGATATGTAAAGCACCTATCACAGTCTCTAGAACATGGGAAGTGCCCAATAAATGTTCTCTCCTTTCTCTTTTATATGATCCTAACTTTTAAACATAATTTAAACCAATAAAGAAATCCGTTTTTACATTTCTAAGTTTAAAATGGACTCTTAGTCACTCAGTGAATGTCACATGTTCTAGTCATCTGTAGTCTAACTTTATGTTACTAAGGAATATGAAAAGTGAAGAGTTTTTACAGCCTTTTCCTATTCTTGATCCTTTATTCCACCATATTTTATAGTAAAAAGTAAAATTATACTCCATCCCTAGTGAATTGGAAAAAAGGAAAATCCCAGTTTATTAGTGAGTCCCCAAAGGACAGAGAATGTAAATTAGAAGTACTGAATTAATTTTTCCTACATCTTCATTAATACTGCTTGAAAAAATACCACTTTCTTTAAAAGAAAGTTACTGGCTTAATCTAAATGCCACTAAATTGATTTTGTTAAAGTTGTGGTATATAAGTTTATATATAGGTTATTAAAAAATAATTGTGCTGCCCTGGCCGGTTTTGCTTAGTGGTTAGAGCATCAGCCTGCCGTCCAGAGAAAATAATTGTGCTGTTTCTGATGCTGGAATTGTGAACAAGAGGGGACTAGACTGCTTCGAAAGAATAAAGTTTATTTATATTGTAACTGAAGTAAGAAAAAAGAAAGTCGATATTAGTTAAATTTGTAAACATATGCATTTCTTCTAAGCTAGAATTTTGATATAACAAACATGATACAGTGGATTAATTAGGAACATGAAATTCATTACTCAGATTACCATTGGCTTAAATGGGGTTGTGAATAGGGAACTAAAAATGTAGTCATAGGATTTATGGAATCTAAAAAGACACAAATGAACAAGCAGAACAGAAACAGACTTATAGATACTAAGAACATTTTGATGGTTGCCGGATGAGAGGGGTATAGGACGATGGATGAAAAAAGTGATGGGATTAAGAAGTACAAATTGGTACTTATGGAATGAATAGTCACAGGGATGTCGAGTACAGATGCAATCACAAGACTAAAAGCACAGTCACAGGACTAAAAGCACAGTCACAGGACAAAAATCAGTTACTTGTGTGGTAGTTTTATCATAACAATGATAAAATGCAGGAAGCAGTGTGCTAACATTAGGGTTGATAGTAACAGAAAAAGAAATGTCTTTACATTATCAAGAGCTACGCTAGTCAGTGATAACTAGATTCTCTAGCTATTCCCATGTGCATAGTAAGGAAAGAAGGGGGAAAAAATCTTTGTTACTAAAATTCCAGCATGAAAATAAATTTAGTATGAATTCCTGGATCCTAAACTCTTTTTTTCCCCACTCACATTTTATATTTTCAATAGACAGTGGTTTCTAGAATAAAATGGCAATTATTGCATGGTAGATCAGCAGTCTGGGTTCTGGTTTGAATTCATTAAAAAAGGGAAGCTTCTTCCTAATTGTATACTAGAACATGAGTATAGTGTGAGACTCAGCATCACAAATGTTTTTACAAGTCCTTTTCCCAGCAATTCCTTTTACGCTCACTTGACCTTTTCTACCCAACAGAGAGTGAATATATTTTCTGAAAAGCTTTAAAGTTAAGTTATTAAGCTAAGCTAAGCTAACATGATGTCTCCATAGTTTTTCCTCTACAACAATGGGTCAGCAAACTTTTTCTTAAAAGGGCAAATAATAAATACTTTAGATTTTTAGCAGGCCATGTGGACTCTGTTGTAATTACTTAACTGCTTTGCCAGTGTGAAAGCAGCCAATGTCTAAATGAATGGGCATGACTATATTCAATGCAACTTAAAAAAACTGGCTACTGACCTGCTGTAGTTGACCATGCCCCGTCCTAGAGCCAAGACATTGCCAGCGTCATCATTCAGAGTTCTTTTATTTTCACCCAAGGACTTTTTTTTTTTTTTTTTTTGCATTTATCTTTCGATAGAGTGAGAAGGAGAAAGGGAGGAAGACAGAGAGAAAGATCAATGTGAGAGAGACACATTGACTGGTTGCCACCCTCACAACCCCAACCGGGACCAGGGACAAACTGCAACCGAGGTGCGTGCCCTTAGCAGGAACCGAACCCGGAACTCTCTAGTCCACGGGCCAGCGCTCTAACCGCTGAGCAAAACCAGCCAGGGCTCATTCAGAGTTCTTACCTGAAGGTGCACAATACCACCAGTCTTGCCTCTCTGCCTGAGTTGTGCTGCTGTGTGATCCAGAAACCCCTCTAACCAGAACGCTGCCAATCCAAGATACAGACTCAAAGACTGAGGTTCTGGTGTATGAGAAATGAGCAACCTTGACTGGTTTGGCTCAGAGGTTGGAGTGTCAGCCTGGGGACCAATGAGTCGCGGGTTTGATTCCCACCAAGGGCACGTACCTCAGTTGCGGTTGGTCCCTGGCACTGGTTGGGTCGTGCGGGAGGCAACCAGTCGATGTGGCTCTATCACATTGAAGTTTCTCTCTGTCTCTCTCTTTCTCCCTCCTTCCCACTTTATCTGGAAAAAAGAAAAAAGCGAGAAATGAGCAGTTAGTTTTACTTTTATGAAATTAGTCTTTAACCATGATTGTGCTAATTTATCAGGTACAAATGAAGTTTTTAGTTGAGCAAATGCGGCGACCAGATTTCATGGATGCTCTACAGGGCTTTCTGTCTCCTCTAAATCCTGCTCATCAGTTAGGAAATCTCAGGTAAGGTAATTTATTGGAACTTCTATTGATATATTTAAATAAGTGCCCTCTTTGGAGAAAATCTTGAAAAGTCAAAATGTCCATTATAATTTGAATGTTACATTGTACAGGGTGCAGCAAAGGTAGTTTTACAGTTGTGAGTATGTGGAACAGTATATTCTTGTATTATTATGTATTACTTATTGTATTGTTTTCGATATAAATAACTGTAAGCCTGCTTTTGCTCCACCCTGTACATGCTTCCCTCTTTCAATCTCCTACTCTGCAAAGTAAGTTGTAAAATATTTCTTAAGTTCCAAATGAGTTCTACTACTTTAATAATAGAGTTTAAAACATTCTGGGCCAGAATTTCTGGTACCATAGGATAAGAAAGGGAATGTAATATCTGCAAAATGAATGATGTGTATATTTGTTGAAAATTTATATGCTATTATATAGCACATTTTAAGCTATATATATATATATAAAATTGATTTTCAATAGAGAGAGGGAGAGGGGATGAGAGAGAGAGAGAAACATCGCTTTGTTGTTCCACTTGTTTTAAGTTTTCAATGGTTGCTTATTGTATGTGCTCTGACTGGAGATCAGACCCTCAGCCTTAGCTCTAACCAACTGAACTACCCAGCCAGGGCAATGTTTATTTTCTCTCTTTTTTTTTTATCCTCACCCGAGGACATTTTTTTCCATTTTTTGTTCAGATAGAGTGGGAGGGGAAGAGAGAGAGAGAAACATCAACGTGAAAGGGACACATTGAGTGGCTGCCACCCGCATGACCAACCAGGGCTGGGGACAAACTGCAACCGAGGTACGCGCCCTTAGCGGGAACTGAACCCAGGTCTCTCTGGACCGCAGGCCGATGCTCTAACCACTGAGCAAAACCGGCCAGGGCTATTTTCTCTTTATAATCCCTTAGAAATGAATTCATAAATAAACTTGAGTAGAAAATTTTACATTTTTATAACACTTCAGAAAGCTATGCTATATATGTATTTTAAAATTAATTTGAAGGTAAAAGAATAATAAAACTAAGGTACCTGCTAAAGTTTTATAATATTTTAAAGGCTTGAAGAGTGTCGAATTATGTCCTCTGCAAAAAGGCCACTGTGGTTGAATTGGGAGAACCCAGACATCATGTCAGAGTTACTCTTTCAGAACAATGAGATCATCTTTAAAAATGGGGATGGTAAGGAAGAGTATTAATGAACTTATGATGCATGAATTTAGCTATCTTTTTATATACAGGATATTTATGAACCATGCAGACTATTAAAAGCTATTTAAGGAATATGCATGTGGTAAAATGTGTAATACTAAGCAGATGTCTTAACCTTTAGAATGTGTATATATAATTATTAAAAAGAAGTACTAGTGTAGAATCAGAAGGCCTGAATCAGTTTCTAGCTATCGTTTGTTTAGCTGTGAGAGCATGCATTTCTTCCATAAATATTTGATGTGCTAGATGGTGGGATTGTAAGGATAGACGAAACAGAACTGTTCTCTTAAAGCTTACAGTCTAGCAGGGAAAAGAAAGATGTAAGACAAATAATTATAAAAATAAAATTACAACCATAGTACAAAGGAAAAGTGTAGTCCGGTAAGAAATCGTGTAAAGGAAGATCCTCTTACTTGGCGAATGGGCTGTGGGGGGAGCAGGGGCAGGATCACTGATGGGTTCCATTGGGAAATGACATTTCAGCATTGAATTCTGTTGACCCAATATTTTAATATAAACATGTTCAAATTCATGGATTCAGAAAAATAAGCACTTTAAATATGTTAATTTAAAATGTTTGTAAAATAGCTTATCCTACATTGTTATATAGATGGGTTTATGCAGATACTTTAGAAATGAGTTAAAGAATCAACATATTGCTCCTTATAGATTATCTTGAAGAGTAAATATAGCTCTATTTATTTATTGTTTGAAAACAGTGTGATGACATGATACCCAAATTTGTATTTAAGGCATTAAATGGTGATACATATTATTTGAATTTCAGATTTACGGCAAGATATGCTAACACTTCAGATTATTCGCATTATGGAAAATATCTGGCAAAATCAAGGTCTTGATCTTCGGTAGGTAACCAGTAAGGCATCTTGTATGTTGAAAGTTATTCTGAAAAAGTAAACTATTAGTAAATATTACTTAAAAAGCATGTAGAGACATATATCTGTAAAGAAATGTATGGAGCCCTGGCTCAGTGGTTAGAGCATTGGCCTGTGGACCAAAGGGTTGCAGGTTTGATTCCTGGTCAAGGGCACATACCTGTGTTGCAGGTTTGATCCCCAACCCTGGTCAGGGTCTTGCAGGAGGTAACCAATCTATGTGTCTCTCTTGCATTGATCTCTCTCTCTCTCTCTTTCTCTCTCTCTCTCAAAATCAATGGGAAAAATATCCTTGAGTGAAGATTAACAAAATAAATGAATGGATGAATGAATGAGTGAATGAATGAATGAGTGAGTGAGTGAAGAATAACAAAATAAATGAATGGATGAGTGAATGAATGAATGAACAAAATGAACAAATAAATAAGTAAAAGAAATGTATGGAGTAGTAATTGACACTAGTTGATTACACTATGGTACTTTCCTTTGTCCTCCTCTTGGGCTTAGAAGAGCTAATGAGATTCAGCTACATAAGAAGAGCTGTTACAAGCTGATAAAGACTTCAATTGCCTCTGAGTGTCTGTTGAGGAACAAGACATAAGTGACACAAAGGACCTGTTTTCTTTCAGAAGTTAAGAGTTTAGAAGAAAGTTTCTTTCATAATATAAGTTTTCTAATTTTAAAACTTTCTAAATCCTCTAATCTTGAATTGGTTTTGCAGGAAAATTTATGAAAGCAACTAATCTTAACGTTTTTACCATTCTGTTGATTTCTGGCCAGCCTTCCACAATTATCAGTATTATCTCCAAGTTTTCTGCCATGCATCATCTTCTAGTGATTTTTGCTTCTAGTGGTTTTTCTGTCTCTTACTTTGCAAATCTAGAGTTATTCAGGCAAAGGCCACCCTCTTTCTTCATAAGTATTTTATCTAGTGGGCATAGGAAATAGGAATCAGTTCTAGCTACAGCAGCAGAGTAGATTAGGGTTTATTTGTATGCTCCTTTTAGATTAAGAATAACTAGTATATAAAATTATATTGGTGACAAATAATAGAACCCTTTTATTGCAAAGAAGAAAAATGGACATATCAAGTAACCTGCCAAATCACAAAATTTAGTTATCACCTTTAATTCTTAAATTCTAATTCTTTGTTTAATACCTGCTGCTTTCAAAAAAAACAGTTCCTGTTACATGAATCAAGTTTCTTTTTTTTTTTATCCTCACCCAAGGACATTTTTCCATTTTTTGTACAGATAGAGTGGGAGGGAGAGAGAGGAAGGGGGAGAGAGAGAGAAACATCGACGTGAAGGAACACATCGAGTGGCTGCCACCCGCACAACCAACCAGGGCCGGGGACAAATTGCAACCGAAGCACGGTTGCCCCTAGCGGGAACCGAACCCGGGTCTCTCCAGACCGCAGGCCGACGCTCTAACTGCTGAGCCAAACTGGCCAGGGCGAATCAAGTTTCTTTTTTTGGTACAATTTCCTGTTGTGAGATATCCACATGCCACTACTAACACCACCTCCAGGGAAGTACAGAATGCAGAACTACACAGTAGAGGAAAGGTTTAACTATATGACTCCGGTAATTACAATATTTAATTGTAAATTAGTGACTGTGCAAAAAAAAAATCTAAAGTTAAACTAGGTCATTGGAAAATAAGGTGGATCTTGGGAAAGTTTTTAAGTCATATTTTCTAAGTATTTTTTAACGTAAGTAAATTTAAGTAAAAATTTTTGTTTAATTTTAAACAAAACCATAAAATGTTTTTTATACTTGGCAAATTTAGATTCATGTTTATGGTAATCTGTTTGATGGTGTTTTGTTTTTTTTCTAACAAGCCTTATAGGGACTGTGTGACTCTTTAAACTATAAGTATGTTCAGTAGTAATGAAATATAAAATAAGAGAATCAGCAGGAGTACATCCTTTAAAAATTCCAGTATTTACCAGGGCAGGTAGAAGAAAAGATTCCATAAGAGAAATATTCAAACATGTAGGAGGACCAGGGTGATTAGGAGAACCCCAAAGAGAGGAGAGATTCACGAACAATTTATAGGGTCAGGGACTTCAGGGGATTTAAGAGCACAAGGGCTATGAAAAAGCCTTTGGGTTTGATGATTCATAATTAGCTTTATGAAAATCTGACTAAAGTGGTAGGCAGAGAAGGTAGGCCACAAGGAATTAAATGAAAATAAGTGTAAACTATTACTTTTTAGAAAGGTGGAAAGAATGGACAGTAGTGCCCACCGGTATGGCTCAGTGATTAGCATTGTCAACCCATGCACCAAGAGGTCGCTGGTTTGATTCCCAATCAGTACATATGCCCAGGTTGTGAGCCCCATCCCAGTGGGGGGCATGCAGGAGGCAGCCAGTCAGTGTTCTCTCTCATCAATTTTTCTATATCTCCCTTTCCATTTCTCTCTAGAAATCAATAAAGAAAAAATTTGCCCCGACCGGTTTGGCTCAGAGGTTGGAGCGTTGGCCTGCGGACTAGAGAGTCCCAGGTTCGGTTCCCGCTAGGGGCACATACCAAAAAAAAAAAGAAGAAGAAGAAATTTTGTTAATGTTTAAAGGAAAAAAAAGAATGGACAGTAGCTTATGAGGACAATGGAGCAAGAAAAACCACATTTAAGTACTTACATGCCAATTGGGCTGTTAGGTTTTATTTTTTCTCTCTCTCTTTAAATCCTCCCATCTCTACCCTTGACTCCATGTCCTTTTTAATATTCTGTGTGATGAATGGGAAGTACCCATAAAGCACTTCTGCTGCATGACAAAGGATGCCCGTGTCAAGGAAAAGCATTTGTGGGCGGAGTTGTGAGCTGAACTAGCTGTTTTTTTCATGGAACACCATTTTTTTTAAGAGATAACTAATAGACAAGCTATGGTTATTCAGACATGGCTATTTGACAGTCATTTCCTTGAAGATAAACAATATGAGCCTCTGTCACCAAGAACAACTGACAGTATTTGTTAACTGTCAGATTTTAGCTTTCCAGCAAAAATTAGAATTTTGAAAACTTTATATCCCCCAATAAGAGCATAACACCTTTCCCCATATAAAAGACTTTTCTGATGAGATCAGTGGTAATAAAGAGTGGGGCAAACATAGGTTTACAGTTGTCTATATGGAAAATAATACAATAATTAATATATAATAATACAAGAACAAACTGTTTCACGTACTCACAACTGTAAGCCTACTTTGCCTCACCCTGCATTAACAATTGTGATATTTTAGTTGGTATAATGAAAACTGTCTACATTTGAAAGACCTCCATAATACAATAAACTAATGTCATCCAAATGACTGATGTGGATATTATATAGTCATATACTATGGGTAAAAGTTCCATTCACGGGCAAAATAGACAAATGAATTTCAATGTAACACAGTATGAAAAGTTTATTGATATGCTTTCAGATTCCATATTACAACTTGAGAAACTATCTCTTGACAAGTTTTGTAATAATATTAAAGAAAAATATCTATAGTTATCTGAAAAAAACGATTATACTCTTTTTTTATTCCATATATTCTGTGAGGCCAGATTTTCTTCATAAGCTTCCTTCCATTAAAATATTGCATTAGATTGAATACAAAAGCATATATGAAAGTTCAACTCAGTTCTGTTAAGCCATACATTAAAGAAATTTGAAATAATGGAAAACAGTGTTACTCTTCTCACTAAGTTTTCTTCAGTTTTTTTGTGTCATAATAGATGTTATTTATATTACCTTATAATAATTTGTTATTTTTAAATGGATGAATAAATATTTTAAATTTTATTTTCTTCATTTTAATTTCTAATGTTAATAGAGTTAACCCACATAAATAAAAGCTCTTGGGACTCCCCAGTGATTTTTAAGAATATAAAGGAGTCCTGAGACCAAAAATTTGAAACCGGTGCCTTAAAGTATTATTTAATGTCTTTTTTTTTTTAACTTTATTGTTGAGAGTATTACAGATGTTCCCTTTTTGTTTCCCCATTGCCCCCCTCCTCCCGGTTCCTGCCCTACCCCAGGCCTTCACCACCCCATTTTCTGTGTCCATGGGTAATGTTTGTATTCATATAAGTTCTTAAAGTATTATTTAGATGTCAATTAAACATCTTTTTTCTTTATTGAATTTAGAGAGAGAGGAAGGGAGAGAGAAATAGAAATATCGAGAGAGAACATCAATTGGCCGCCTCCTGCATGCCCCCTACTGGGGATCAGGCCCACAACCTGGGCATGTGCCTTGACCGGGAATCAAACCGGCAACCTTTTGGTGCATAGGTCGATGCGCAACCACTGAACCACACAGACCAGGCTCAATTAAACATCTTTAAATTCATCCATACTTTTAAGTTATGTTTATGACATTTTACTTGCCACAGTAATTTTCTTAATGTTTTTCTGATATACAAGTAAATGCTTTCTCAGTTGAAGGTTATAATAAATGATGGCAAATAATTTTGAGCATTTTTCTAGGACTGTCATACTATAATAAAAGAAAGTTAAAATTGGGTTAAGGGAGTAACATGACAAATTTGCAAATACTAGAATATTCCCGTATTAGCCTATTAAAATATTTGCCATTTTAAAATTTTATCATTAAATTGCAAATGTCTTGATCCTTTTTCAGAATGTTACCTTATGGTTGTCTGTCAATTGGTGACTGTGTGGGACTTATTGAGGTGGTGAGAAATTCTCACACCATTATGCAGATTCAGTGCAAAGGTGGTCTGAAGGGTGCACTGCAGTTCAACAGCCACACACTACACCAGTGGCTCAAAGACAAGAACAAAGGAGAAATGTGAGTGTATTATTCTTCTCTTCCTAGTTAACCTAGGTTGTCATTGGACAAGTCTTTAATGGTTGAGTATATTTCTGAGTTAGAGCAGAGGAAAACAACTTATTTACTTTGGAAAAAAATATGTTCAATCTTTGACATATTTGAGATTATTTGTATTTAAATGATCAGAATTGCTTATAATTGAGTGAAATCCTATACATTCAACTTAGATATTTAAAAGCTGTATTTCTTACTGTTTATTCTTTTTCAGAAAAATTAACATTGCACATTAAAATTTTTATTTCTAATTACAATAATTAGAAAAAATCATTTTAATCAATGACATAGTAATTATTTTTTATACTATAATAAGGATTGTCCTTTGGTCCAAGACTATCTAGAAATGTCCTTAGAAACCTCTGAAAACTTCACAATCTCCTAACCTCTCACATCTTTGAACATAATGTCTTCCCCCTAATGTCAGTGGTTGTTTTCATTGTTTGAATACAGACTTGGACCATCTTTTCCCAGTTTGGACTGGATCACTCTGTATTTCCACAGTACTCATAGAGAGTTTATTTCTTCGTAGATACGATGCAGCCATTGATCTGTTCACACGTTCATGTGCTGGATATTGTGTCGCTACCTTCATTTTGGGGATTGGAGATCGTCACAATAGCAACATCATGGTTAAAGATGATGGACAAGTAATAGCTTTCTCTTTTTAAACATTTTGGTGTTCTTAAATTTATTCACTCAGGGTATTGTACTTCTGCATTTATCAAACTATAACATAATTTCTTATTTTTAAAAGCTGTTTCATATAGATTTTGGACACTTTTTGGATCACAAGAAGAAAAAGTTTGGTTATAAACGAGAACGTGTGCCATTTGTTTTGACACAAGATTTCTTAATAGTGATTAGTAAAGGAGCCCAAGAATGCACAAAGACAAGAGAATTTGAGAGGTAAGCTCAAGAAATCAAAAGCACAAAACGAAGAAGTCTTGCCATTCTATCCAAAACAATTGATATTTTTCAATCAATTTCAATAATAGATATTATATTAACGTTGGAGAGTAAACTGAATATTTTAATGTATTGGTTTTATTTATTGTGTAATGCTGTGAAGAAAACAGAAAAAAATTCTTATTTAGTTAAAGTCTAAAAGGAAAGTGATCTTTAAACTTCATAATACATTAAAAGCTTTTACTTACTGCTGTTTATTTATTTATTTTTTTTATCCTCACCCGAGGACATTTTTTCTATTTTTTGTTCAGATAGAGTGTGGGAGGGAGAGAGAGAGAGAGAAACATCGACGTGAAAGGGACACGTCGAGTGGTTGCCACCCACACGACCCAACCGGGGCCGGGGACAAACTGCAACCGAGGTACGTGCCCTTAGCGGGAACCGAACCCGGGTCTCTCAGGACCGCAGGCCAACGCTCTAACTGCTGAGCCAAACCGGCCAGGGCCTTACTGCTGTTTAAATATTTGGACTCCACCTTCTCTGTATTGACAAATAATGTATAGTACTTAAGATATTAAGAAAAATGTATAGTGATGAAATTTGAGGAATTCAGTCAACTGTAATTACCATATTTATTCATAACTTTTCTTGTTATGGTATATCTATCAGTAGTCTATCTTAAACTTTAAAGTACTTTTAAAACCTTTTATAAAATTGTGTTTTATCTATAACTCAGTCCTGGCCCTAGACTAAACCCTAAAAGGATCAATTCATACATTAATAAATCCTTATTAAACTCCTAATGTGCCCGGCATTATTGTAGGTATGGAAATAAAGCAGTAAACCAAGTCCCTTTGGACGCGTGTAGTTTATGTTCTAGTGTCGGATCAAGGGGTTGGGGAGAGGAATGCTGTTTGTTACCTGTTTGTCCAAGAAGGCCTCTGAATGATGTGACATTTGAGCAGAGACCTGAAGGTATAAATGCCATTTGCTTCATACTAACCAAACTGTTTTATTACTTGTAGGTTTCAGGAGATGTGTTACAAAGCTTATCTAGCTATTCGGCAGCATGCCAATCTCTTCATAAATCTTTTCTCAATGATGCTTGGCTCTGGAATGCCAGAACTACAATCTTTTGATGATATTGCCTACATTCGAAAGACCCTAGCTTTAGATAAAACTGAGCAAGAGGCTTTGGAATATTTCATGAAACAAATGAATGATGCACATCATGGTGGCTGGACAACAAAAATGGATTGGATCTTCCATACAATTAAGCAGCATGCTTTGAACTGAAATGATAACTAAGAAACTGAGAGCTCAATATTGGATTCTATACTGCACTGCTAATAACTGTCAACAGGCAAAGACTGATTGCATAGGAATTGCACAATCCATGAACAGCATTAGAATTTACAGCAAGAACAGAAATAAAATACTATATAATTTAAATAATGCAAATGCAAACAGGGTTTGATAGCACTAAACTAGTTCATTTCAAAAAATTAAGCTTTAGAATGATGCGCAATTTAATGTTATGCCTTAAGTCCAAAAAGGTAAACTTTGAAGATTGTTTGTATCTTTTTTTAAAAAACAAAACAAACAAACAAAAAAAACCCAAAATATATAGAAATGATGGAGAAGGAAAAAGAATGATGTTCTTTTTTTGTCTTGCAAATGTTCTATGTTTTGAAATGTGGACACGCAAAGTCTATTACGGCATTACATCCAGGTAAACTGGAGTTTGATGTTAAATTATATTAAGATTGGAAATGATGAAATTTCTTATTTTTTCATTGCTGTTCAACTTATAGTTTGAAGTGGGTTTTTGACTCCTTGTTTAATGAAGAAAAATGCCTGGGGTAGAAGGGACTCTTGAGATTTCACCAGAGACTTTTCTTTTTTAATAAATCAAACCTTTTGATGACTTGGGGTCCTATCTGCAAAGTTTTGGAAGCAGTCACAAATGAGACCTGTTATAGGGTGGGTTTTTTTCTGGACAGTATTTACAAGAATCTGATTCTTATTTCCCAGGGAAATTCTGGGCACCCATAAAGTAAAATCATCATCATAGAGTAAGAATGAGCAGGATAGTTCTGCTCCAGAATTGTACAGTATTCACTTTACGTTGATTTTTTTTTCTCCTTTTGCAATTGAATTGAATACATTTTTCATGCATGTTTTCCAGAAAATAGAAGTGAGTATTAATGTTATTAAAAAGATTATTTTTTTTATTAAAGGCTATTTATATTATAGAAACTATCATTAATATATATTCTTTATTTCATGATCTGTCCCATAGTCATGCATTGTTTTGCACCCCAAATTTTTATTGTTCCTATCAGCATGGTCAGCTCTTCTCTTGGTCTTTGGAGAAGACTCAGGCACTATTCCATTTATACCAATACTAGTGAATAACTACTTAAAGAAAACATTAAAGTTTATCCTCTTTCCTTTTTTTTCTTTCTGTTTTTACATTAATCCCCCATCTTCCATCCTCTTCTATAGTTCAGAATGCCTCAGTGATATGAAATTAGTTACCAAAATTAATACAGTTTCCTGATTGCTTAAACCCTCTACTGAGGTATGCTCATGAATAGTACTTTATAATATGGGGAACTAAAAACCATGAACTTTTTACCATTTTAGGCTATTTATCTAATATCTCAATAAAAAAAATTGGATCTTAAGCCATTTTAAGATCATGTCCCATTTCCTAGTGGTCAGGGCTCACTCTCCAACTTTACTTAATTGCATTTGAGCACAGGAAACATTCTTAAACATTTTGAAAAACATTAACCCAAGATGTAGAGCCCAATGCTATTATTACTCCAGAATCTGATATTTTATTCAGTATTTGAAATGAATGATTAATGCCCTAGGAAATAGCTTTAGCAAATGTCCAGGTGCCACACCAGAAAAAGTGCAATAATTTACTGAGATCAGGCATATTATTGGAATACAACTTTAGAGGAGTGCATGTTGTGTACTCTAGTGAAGCAGCATCACTTAAAAAATCTTCACTTATGAAATTAGTTACTATAGTAAAAGTCTTGAATAGTGAACAAGGACTCTAATACAAATACTCTTAATATTTGGCTATTTTAGAACCCTTAAAGGGCATACTTATTGGAGATTTAGGTACTTCAGTAAAGCATTTATATAATATTGCCAACAAGAAAAATAAATTTGAATATTAGGGGAACTTACTTCTCTAAACTGTCTTGGAAAAGTTCCGAAGAATTTAACCTCTATTTTAAGCAGGAAACCAATAGATTCTTTTGCAGATATAGATTTCATAACTTATTAAAATGTTATGGTTCACATTTTGTGTCTTTTAGATCTATTCACTTATAATACTAACATCCCAGTCTTTTCTATGTCAGGAATAGATTACAGGAAAACTCAGTGAAATGGTACAAATCTGAGACTTTGATGGCAGAAACTGAAGTATTAATAGAGAACCGTGTTTTACCCGAGTGCCAAAAAAGCTTTGAGCTTCCTTGCACAAAATCTATACAATTTTTCTCTTTCCATGTCAGTCCAGCTAGTCCCTTTCCCTGGGACCTCTCCATCACACCACATACCTTATTTCATCATTGACACTTATTTTCAAGAGTTCTTACAACCAAATCAAGTCTATTTGAGAAGTGTAGGCAAATTTTATGAAGAATATAGATTGTGATCTAGCTAAAAGCAAGTAAATATTAAACAAATCCAAGCAAAGTTTAAGCAAACAGCATTAAAAATAAGAAAAAAGGGACAGGTGGTTCTCTGAAGGCAAAGAACCAAAAACTGAATTAATGCTACATGGATGACTGGGATATGTTTCTTTTTTTTCTTTTTCTTTTTTTTTTTTTTTTTACCTACCCCACCATCTTGACTGGAAGTCCCCTTGGGATATGTTTCAAATCATGACAATATAGTCGCTTCCAGGTACTTTGGTATCAAAGATCAATTTCAGTTGGTCAGTTTCTATGACCAACTCTCTGTCATTGAATGTGGTATAACTGACTTATGGCTCTACAATTTCATTTGGTCACTTGAGCAATAGTTCCTTCAATAACTATTTTGAAAGGGGGAAAGTAGGTTTAAAGAAAGCAAAACTTAATTTTAAACACATTCTAGCAAAAAATAATCAACTGTTTGAAAATCATGCTTTAACTTTTTGTTATATTTTCAGCTACACAAAATTGTTTATTTTGCAGATTTTTAGACTACTGTTAATTTGAAATCTGTTAATCATATTATGGAATTTTTTGGTTTTTTTTTTAAAGATGTTTCTAATTGGATTTTAAATCAAGAATGGAATTTGGTCTCTATTTTATGATAGAACCTAAGCTTTTTGTGGTTCTTAGTGTCCTGTGTAAAACTTAGTGTCAAAGAAATCAACTTTGAGGTTTTCCCTTCTACTCTGCTTTATATTACAAGCCCTTTAGGAAATGGGAAACTGGTGAATATACAATGAATTGTAAAATATTTTAATGTGTAACTTTTTCAACTGTGAAACTATGACTATTGGTTTTTTTATGAAAACAACTGCTGATAAAGTATTTTGTGTAAAGTGTAGTTCTTATTAATCAGGAAAATAATCAATGATTTGACTAGAATGTATATACCCTCTTGGATTTTATTTTAAATGGATTGGTAATTTTCACATAAGCAAAACACAGTCCATCTGTATTCTTTTTTCCATCAAAAATTGCGTGATTTGGCATTATAAAAAAAATATGAGCAGCCTATCCTAAAGACACCATGGAAATTTCACAGCATATATACTTGGATTTGTCTCTTAATGATTTTATAAATCCTTTTAATTCATATCCTGACTAATAATAGCCCATGCTTGCAGCTCTTTGAAGAAATTTAATTTCTAGCGTTATTTTAAAGCCAGCGGGTTAACTTTTACTGAATGTTATAAGTTCCTTTTGTTTTTACATCTGCATCATCAGCAGACCTGGGCTGGACCCACACACCCAGAATCCACCTTAAAAAACTGATTTTAATATCCAAGACATCACTATAGTATTTCAGTTTAAAGGCCATATGTGGTGTTAATGGATTGTGGTGCTTCTACTATTTAAAAACAACTTTCATACTTCAGTTGTGTTTGAGAAGAGGGACTGTGGAGAAGGGGCAGACAGGGAGGAGTGGAGCGCATTCTGCAAATCCTGCCCAGGCGGGCACAGGAGAAGGCTGAACGCCTGACAGGATACTGCGCGTGACGCAGGGGGACTCGCTCTTTGTCGAGGGAGGGGTGTGAAGGCTGAACTATAAATTCCAGCATTGACAGGATACTCAGATAATAACTCTTGGTGACAGAATAATACAGCTGGGCTGTTTTTTAAAACATAAACACAAACCATTTTTATTTCTTAATTATTACATTAAAAATTGTAAATGTATCTTACATGCCATGGCCTGGAAAGCCTTTTTTTTTTCTTTTCTATTAAAAGTTATGTTCACTTTGTAAACATATTTTAGGGGTTAGCTCAAAATAACTATGGTCCTGATGAAAGTAGATTGGTAATTCTACCTCAGAAGGTTAATAAGGAAAAATAATAGATGAGTTACAATTCAATACTTCATGCTCTGATATTACAGAAATTTGCATAGCACTGTCTTTCAGATTTACAAAGTCAGAGTCGGCATGCCTTGTTTTTAATGGCATTGGAGACATTTGGAAAAAATGTTGGTTAAAAATTGAGTCATTGCTGCAGCCATTTGGAAAAGGCTATAGTGCTAGGAGGTCCATGGTACTCGGTTCTTGAGTTCAGTATTTGAAATTAGTTGTGTTCTCTTTTCTTGATTATTAGTGAAATTAGTGTGGGTATATGTTCACACATTTCTGTTTGTATACACACTGCTTGCTAGCTCTAGTCAAGAGGCATCTTTTGTAAAAGGTGTAAACATCAAGGTTCTAAAATTCAGAAGAGTTTAGAATTTATTAGGAGTTTCCCAAGTTGGGATGTTAGTTTTTAAATAAGCTTATTTCATTCAAGTATTCCACTTGATGACGTTTTGCACTTCCTAGTTACCAACGCAGCCCCGTTCCTTTTGCCTAGACATGTTAAGATTTCAGATGTGTTGACGTTGCAGCCGTGCTAGCTTGCTTAAAGTGACAGTTACGAGCCATAAGGAAAGTTTCTGGCTTGATTTTTACACAATTACATATAAGTTTTAGCAGGGAGGAAAAAAATACAATCAGTCCCTTGTACATCTAGTGTAGTTGGGTCACTGCTTTCACTACAAACTGTAGACTCCATTCCTCATGTTGGTGAGTCTGCATTCTGTAAGCTATTTAAGTCCATGAATCTATCTGAAGTCCTATTTAATCTGTCACTACAATAATTTTGTGATTATGCTAAGATCCATGTACATTTTTTTTTATGTGAATCTTATTTTAGTTCATTATTTTAGGATAGCAAGGAGGCAGAAAACCAACTTTGATATTTTCTCAAAATATCTTTACTAAGACTGAACTCCTTAATTCTAGCGTAAATGTCCAAATGTTGTCATTATCTATCGATTTCATAAGAAAAGGTCCCTTACCAGGTTTGATTTAGGTTCCTAAGAATGAGTGGAGAAGTTGGCCTTCATCTGGTTTCTAGGAATTTTTTGGTTATGGAACCTAAGTTTCAAATGCAATCAGTGTTGTAAATGTGATTCAATCCTTGGACTTCATTGGGTTGAATACAAATCTAAAAGAATAAATATATCCTTTTGGAACATAACACTGAACATCTTGGGGAATGTGGCACTACCAAAAGAAGACTACTATCATACCAAATGTTGACTTCGGAAATTTTAAAAAGTAGCTCCCACCACCCTTTCTAGTTCAATTTATTGTAGCAGATCTCTCTATATATATGTTGTCATTCAGTGGACTGAAGTCCTGTGGTATTCTGCATTAGTTAGGAGAAAAATGTTTTTAAATGTTCTTTTAATGATAACCCAAAAAGTATCTGACACAGCAAAATGCATGTGTTGTTGTATTGGGAATATAGAATATACTACAGTGTCGCTACATTTAAGACCTCTTCCCCGTCTTGCTGTTCCTGCGAGAAGTGTGGCCTGTCACTCACTTATGCTTGTGCTCACCAGAACTGTCAATGTCGCTTTCCTTTGACTCCGCAGACTGTAACCACGCTGTTGATTAAAAACATTACTTCGACTTGTGTCCAAACAGTCCTTAGTGTACTATATATTTTAAACCAAAAAACTGTGATGATTATATTTTGCCATCTTTTGAATGCTTAAAAAGCCAACCAGTATTGCTAATAATCAAATTTTAACTGAATTTGAGTTCTTCACAATCATGACTAAGAAACATGGAATGAAAACCTGAAACTATTATGCCTTCAAAGCCAATTTTTCTGCCCCAGTAAAGTAATGGATATTAGAGAAATATCTGTTTAAATATTAACTTCCTTTAAGCATAAAGAATGATATGGTTATATTTTAAGCAGAAATATATGTATAAACATATCCCTATGAATGTGTTTGTATGTGTAAATGCACTTTTTTTCAAGTCAGTTGAAGAACAGAACCTAAAAAAGAAGTTAGGTTAGAAACAAACTGGTTTTGCTTTCAGTTAATGTAAACCTTGCAAAAGGTAAGTATGAGCTTTTCTTGGACCCATAATGCACGTGGGCATTGACACTTGGTACTTCTAAGCAATTAACAGAAAATAATTGCTTAAGTTGTGTTTATTTGCCAAGTAATTCAAGTGACTTTCAGGGTTGGGGAAACTTTTTTCTATTTTTTTATTTTATTTATTTATTTTTATTTTTTTACCTTCACCCGAGGACATTTTTCAATTTATTGTTCAGATAGAGTGGGAGGGAGAGAGAGAGAGAGAAACATCAGCGCAAAAGGGACACATCGAGTGGCTGCCACCTGCACGACCCAACCAGGACCGGGGACAAACTGCAACCAAGGTATGTGCCCTTAGTGGGAACCGAACCCGGGTCTCTCTGGACCGCAGGCCGACACTAACCGCTGAGCCAAACCGGCCGGGGCAGAAACTTTTTTCTATAACATTATTCACAGGCCATCCAAAATTATCATCTTAAAAATTATCCTGCTATGCACAGCTGGTGTGGCTCAGTGGATTCAGCATCATCCCATGCACCAAGAGGTCACCAATTCAATTCCTGGTCAGGGCACATGCCAGATTTGGGGCTCCATCCCCAGTAGGAGGCAGCCGATCGATGTTCCTCTCTCGATACTTCTCTCTCTCCCTTTCCCTTCCTCTCTATCTAAAAATCAGTTCTTTAAAAATTAGCCTGCTAAATTTTGTCAGGCTAATTTGGTGAGGCGTGTGATGTTGGCTGGTATTGATTTCGAGGGCCTTATATGGCCCACGGGCCGGACATTCCCCACCCCTGATTGACTTTGTTCATCAAGCATAAAGTCTCTCTTGCCTGAAATGAACCACCTAGCCACTCTACACATGGAGAACTGCTTTCAAATTAGTGGATTTGAATTTGTTAAGAGAAAAACCCCAGGAGCTGCATGTTGTTAGATGGGTGTCCAACTTGTTAAGCAATGGAATAGAGATGTGCCCTTAATTTAAGAAAAGGACAGAAACTCAATTTGCGGCATGATTTAAATGTGTACACATATATACGTTTTGTTACAGAGAAGTCTTTGGTACACAAACGGGTTTACCACAGCCTTTTAAACAGCACATTCTGGACCTTAAATGCGTATCATATTTAGCCAACAGGAGTCAGGGAGGATTCTTTCCTGCAGCCTCCTGCCCTCACCCCTCTACCAACTGTCTGGTGAAGGGTACTAAGGTTCACTGCATTTATTTTATTTATAATAAGAATTGTATATATTTAAGGTATACAATATAATGATTTGATATACATAGTGATATGTTTACTAGAGTGAAGCTAATTATCGCATCATCTCAGTTAAGTGTGTGTGATGAGAGCACCCGAAATCTACTCTTAGCGAATTTCCAGTATACAGTATTATTAACTATAATCATCATGCTGTTTACTACATCTCTAGATGTAGTTATCTTATAACTAAAAGTTGTAGCCTTTAACCAGAATCTCCCATTTCCCCTACTTCCCTATCCCTTATAACCACCATACTACTCTCTGTTTCTGTGTATTCGGCTTTTTTAGAGTCCACATAAATGTAGTTAAATGCAGTTTTTTCCTTTCTGTGTCTGGCTTAACGTAATGCCTGGTTCCAGGTTCATCTGTATTGTTGCAAATAGCAGGATCTCCTTTTTTTTAATCCTCACCCGAGGATATAGTCATTGATTTTTTTTAGAGACATCAATGTGAGAAACATCAACAGGTTGCCTCCCAGGCATGCCCAACTGGGAATCAGATAGAACCGGCAGCCTTGTGGTGTACAGGACAGCTCTCCAGACAGCTGAGCCAGGGCAGGGTCTTCCTTTCTAAGGCTGAATAATATTCCATTGCATGTATGTATACACACATTATATATCTATAATCACAGGATTTAATCCGTCGATGGACACAGGTTATTTCCATGTCTTGGCTATTGCGAATGATGCCTTGGTGAACATGAGGGTGCAGATATCTCTTGGAGGTACTAATTCCATTTCCTGTGGTTATACAGCCAGGAGAGGCATAAGGCAGACTGAATATTGAAACTTAGCAAAAGATTTTTTTATTATCTACTAACTTTTTTAAGCACTTCTGCTAGGTACCAGAAACTAAGCTAGGTGTTTCACATACTCTACCTTGTTTATTCCCTAAAATGGCCCCATGAGAGAAGAGATGATCCCCATTTTATAAATGGAAAGAGAGAGGCTCTGCTGAACTGCCCAAGGATACACATCTGAAAAGTTGTAATTACGGCCTGTAAACTCAAATAAGTCCTACACTGAGACACACGTTCTCTCCACTATTCCACACTGGAAAGAAGAGAAAACGAAAATTGTTCATTACTCGTCAAGTCGATATTGCTCAATATGATTATTCAGTTTACTTAGTAACTTATGGCTTAAAACAAATTTCTAAGAGGCATTAAATTGGTTTAGGGTCGAAGTTTCTCATTTGATTATGTCTATATAAAAAAGTTGCTTCAGCCCTGGCCAGTTTGGCTCAGCGGTTAGAGCGTCGGCCTGCGGTCCGGAGAGACCCGGGTTCGGTTCCCGCTAAGGGCACGTACTTCGGTTGCAGTTTGTCCCCGGCCCTGGTTGGTCGTGTTGGTCGTGCGGGTGGCAGCCACTCGATGTGTCCCTTCACGGCGATGTTTCTCACTCTCTCTCCCTTCCTCTCTCTCCCTCCCACTCTATCTGTACAAAAAAAAAAAAAAAGTTGCTTCAAAAGTCTCGTTCTTGCCCTGGCCAGTTTGGCTCAGCGGTTAGAGCATTGGCCCACGGACCAAAGAGGCCCAGGTTCGGTTCCCGCTAAGGGCACGTACCTCGGTTGCAGTTTGTCCCCCGGCCCTGGTTGGGGTCGTGTGGGTGCCAACCACTCAATGTGTCTCTCTCACATCAAGGTTTCTCTCTCTCTCTCTTTCTTCCTCTCCCCCTCCCACTCTATCTGAAGTTGAATGCAAAAATTTCCTCGGGTGAGGATTTTTTTTTAAAAGTCTCATTCTTTCTGTTGTCCATGAAGTAAAATTTTTTTAGTACAATGTTAAAAATCCTTTAAGGCACATTGGTTTTCAGAAAAAACTCTGTTATCAACTCATATATTTAGCTTAATTTGGAAAGCACCTGCAGGGAGAGTCTCGTGACTCATTATTTAATAGCCATGGCTGATTCATCAGTTAATGTATGGACAATTGTTGCGTATCCATGTGGGGCTGTCCTCTGATGTGGATTATCTGAGATGACTGTTAGATTCCATCCAGTCCGGTTCATCCCCCTTCACAACACAATTCTAGCCATCTCTCCCACTCTCCCCAGAATGTGCACAAGGAATAAAATGAGCCCTGGCCAGTTTGGCTCAGCGGTCAGAGTGTCAGCACGAGGACCAAAGGGTTACTGGTTCAATTCCCAATCAAGGGCACGTACCTTGGTTGCAGATTCTTTCCCCCACCCTGGTCAGGGTCATGCGGGAGGAAGCCAATCAATATGTCTCTCTCACACTGATGTTTCTCTCTCTCCCTCCCTCCCTTCCAGTCTAAAAAAATCAATGAAAAAAAATATTCTTGGGCAAGGATTAACTAAAAAAAGAATAAAATGAGTTTATGGAAAGCGTAATTAACTAAAAACTGTTGCTAAAAGACAAATTTTATGATACATGATAAAGTTCAGTGCAAATAACTCTAAACTGAATTTTCTAGGCAGTGGCTTCACCAAAGGTGAAGGGAAATGGCAGGTCCCCACTTTCTGTGATTACCGGATTACTATCTTCCTAGTGAACAGACTGTTCTTCACCAAGAACTTTTTTGAGAAATGTAATGTAAGCTGGACTGCACAGAACGAAGCTGGCTGTCCGGTGCTCACTGGGTTAGATACCCTCCTCACTGATTTCCACGTGGACAAGTTCTAGCTAGAGCTGGGATCAAGGACAGCTACCTTGAGCTTATTTGGCCACGTGGGAACAAAAAGTGCTTTGTTGGCTTATGTGGAAAGAGATTTGGAGTAGGAAAAATGGTAGATTGTTATGTATGTACAGAAAAATAGAATACACACGAGACTTTTAAAATGTTTTTTCTTCCAGCCCCAGCTGGTTTGGCTCAGCAGTTGGAGCATCGGCCCAATGGCTGAAGAGTCATGGATTCGATTTCGGTCAAGGGCATGTACCTTGGTTGCGGTTCGGTCCCTGACCCTGGTCAAGGTCTGGGGGGAGGGAGCCAGTCAATGTGTCTCTCTCACGTTGATGTTTCTCTCTTTCTCTCTCTCGCCCTCCCACTCTGTCTAAAGATAAATGGGAAAACATCCTCAGGTGACGATTTAAGAAAATTAAATAAATAAATAAATAAATAAATAAATAAAATGTTTTCTTTCCACCCTGGCCGGTTTGATTCAGCGATTAGAGCATCGACCCTCAGACCTAAGGGTCCTGGGTTAGATTCCTGTCAAGGGCACATGCCTGTGTTGCAGGTTCAATGCCCTGGCCCTGGTTGGGATCTTCTAGTAGGCAACTAGTCAGTGTTTTTCTCTCTCTCGCTCCCTCCTTCCCTTCCATTCTATCTAAAATTCAATGGAAAAATACTTTCAGGTGAAGACTAAAAACTAAAACTTTAAAATGTTTTCTTTCCCATATCATACTTTACTGCCTATTCATGGTTAATTTTCAAGCAGGCAGAATGAAGTCCTCAAGTGCAGAAACTGCAGGTATCTGCAGGCCAGGACTTTCATTTGGCCGCCAGCTTCAGATTTCCCTACTCCTTCGATGCTGTTCCATATCAGGTCCCCTGCCACCTGCCGCGTCCCTGAGCGCAGCGCCGTACTTCTCGCACAGCAGGGACAGGTACTGTGTGAGCCGTACCATGCCAACGATCAGGGCACCGCCGAGCAGCGTCACGGAAGGCCAAAATAAACAGTGGAAGATAACCACTTGGTCATACTTTTTTCTGAGAATGACGTCTTCAGATTGGCTGTCTGGATGGTAGAAGCACGAAAAGGGGGTCCCATTTTTGTGATCGAAGAATTCCTTTATGTCCAGAGCACTGTGGAGCAAGTCATTCCAATCTCGGTGGCACTTAGGTGTGTAAAAGCACTAGGAATATGGAGGAGGGAGAAAGATGAGGACACTCTTCCCCTTATCAAGCACTTAACAGTTTTCATTCTGAAATAGCTTCAACATGAAGCCATTAGTGGGGTGTTTCGGTCTCGAGGTGATGAAACCTATTACATAGCTCGTGCAGGTAAAAGCAGGGATGTGGGAATGTATTCTTAGAACAAAGATGTTGCAAAAGAGACAATGACCAACTTCCTAACGACCACGATCCTGACGTGCAGGTCCTCGGTCTCTTCCTGGACAGGAACTCAATCCATTGGTCCATTCAACAAATATTTATTGTGCTCTCTATATGCTTTCAACTCCTATTGATCGTTCTATTGCCTCTGTCTTGATGTCCTGTAGTCAAGTCTCTCCCTAAAGGATTAGCATATGAGGCTTCTGTCCTAGGCCCACACAGAGGGGTCCTACCTGGTCCCTGGGAGGCAGAACCAGTGATAAGGGAGCTCTATCAGCTGCTGACTTTACAAAAAAGCTTGAATCCAGCCAGTGTGGCTCAGTGGATTGAGCATCTTCCAGGGACTGAGGGGTCCTGGTTCCATTCCCGGTCAGGGTACATGCCGGGGTTTCAGGCTCAGTCCCCAGTAGGGGTCGTGCAGGAGGCAGCTGATCAATGTTTCTCTCTCACATGGATGTTTCTCTTTCTCCCTTCCTCTCTCTCTCTAAAAAAATCAATAAAACGTTTTGAAAATTAGTGATGAAAGACAACTAACCTAATACAACTCAACTTTGATTGTTATAAAACGTACACTTTAAATTACATGAACCAGTTGAGTAACTTATTAAAATCAAAATGATAATCCTTTCCATTTCTCTGATAAGGTCAATTACTTGCTTGATTTAAGGTGGACTGTGAGTACCTTTTACCATTTCTGACATGATGGGGAGCGGGACCTCCAGAAGTAACACTGCCTAGAAATGACTCCGTTCACTGGGTCAGCCTATAAATTCCAGACACCAATTTGTGAAACTGGAATAATTTCTCCTCTTTCTATTTACCCCACTTTTCCTCCAAGAATGCTTTCAGTTTCATTGACCCTGAGTTGATCACTATGAAAACTGGAAGGAAACAGATTTATCCCTAAAGATGGCCCAGGGTACTGCACGGTGCTAGGAACAGTCTGGCATGGGGGGGTTGCTTTTGAACTTTTCAATTAGATCATTACCTTGGAGTTTATCTGGACAGCTTCTTCATTATAATGTAGGAGAGCTTTCTGACCGGAATGGGTGAGGTTCACAAACACCTGAAGACAAGGGTACCTGCCCTGACCTTGACAGTCCACACCACAGAGGACGGCACAGTCCGTCCCATCATCCGTGATACGTGTGTGGATGGCGGTGCAGTTTGCTTCTTCTCTCTGAGTGCTTCCATTTGGAAATAAAATAAAATAGATGATCTTCACCCTCTAGAATCGTTCTATATTGCTCATGGGGTAACCTGAGACATTTGTCTCTTCTGAGGTCCCGCAGGACCATCACAGCAGCCACACATGATGGGGGCACGGAGGACATGCAGACAGGGAACAAGAGCAGCAAACTGCCTGGTTCCGACTCATTTGTGACCCTCCTGGCATATTTCTCACTACACCAGCCCTGAGGTCAATGTTTACTGAGCAGCTTCTATGTGCCAGGTAGACATTATCCAACTCAAAAAACGCAGACTCAAAAACATTTATTGCCAGGCCGGTGTGGCTCGGTGGATTGAGCATTTTCCCATGGACTGAGCAGTCCCGATTAAATTCCCGGACAGGGCACATGCCTGGGATGAGGGGCTCGATCCCCAGGAGGGGGCATGCAGGAGGCATCCACTTGATGTTTCTATCTCTCTTTCCCTTCCTCCCTCTCTAAAAAAGCAGTAAAAACATATTTTTAAAAAATTTCTTGTGCTCATGTAGAAGGCTTAGATGAACCCTTCTCTTGGCTACCTGCACGTTCGAGGAAGGATGTATTACCTACATGAATATTAATGTGTGGATTTGTTGTTGGAAGTATTTTTGAGATTGGAGTTGGGGAGCAGAAAAGAAGTATCTTCCACTTTCTGACCACCTCTTGCTCCAGCTCTCAGCTGGCTCCCAGCACTGAGAGGAAGAAGGGATTCTGTCTTCCCTGTTCCCGGCTTCAGTCAAAGGGCTGCAGAAACCGGAGCCAGCCCCCCCTCGCTGCCACTGTGCCTGCGTCTGATCTGAACTGGAAATTCTGGGTCTATCTTTCTAGTTTCTTACCTGAGCATGAAAGGCTTTAGGATGGTTATTCCAAACAAGAAGAACATTAGAACTGAGAAGCCCATCATTGCGAACCCTAGCAGCATGGCTCGGTCCTCGCCAGCACTGGACGGCAGCTTCTTGTGCCCATCTGGTGGGTCTCCATCAGTGTGGTCTGTATTGCTCTTCCTCCCTGAGGTAGAAAAGGCTGCCCTTTGGGGGCAGTGGGGAGGAGAGGGAGGAGATAGTTCAATACGTTTATAAAGAAATGGGAACAGCCCAGCTGGTGTGGTTCGGTGGATTGAGCGTCGTCCCGTGGACTGAGACGTCCTGGTTCAATTCCCGGTCAGGGCACATGCCCGGGTTGTGGGCTCCATCCCCAGTAGGGGGCGTGCAGGAGGCAGTCAATTAATGTTTCTCTCTCACATCGACATTTCAATCTCTCTCTCCCTCCCTCTCTCTATAAAATATCAATAAAAATTAAAAAAATAAGTAGGAACATTTACTAACCCATGGTGGGGTGGAGGGATGATCCCATTGGCTGCCCCTCTAAGGCTTGTGAGCAAGTTCAGTGCAACCCAGTGAGATCCCATGTTCAGAGCTTGGTGAAAAGACTACCTAAACTTGCTAAAACGATGCATTACAGTTTTTTGTTTTTTTTTTCTTGAATGTAACAAACAAAACAAAGGTATGTTGTCTGGTGGAAGTCTTTAAAGACCTGCTTAACCAACGGCCAGAGAAGAATCACCTGTCACCATGCCTTTTGTTTGTGTCATGTCCAGAAATGTGATGAACTTGCTTATCTGTCAGGGTTACTGCACATTCCCCCTGAAAATATTTTTTATGTTCTCTTATGAATTTCATATGGAAAGAATGACTCAAAAGTTCACCTTTGGAATGCCAGCATCCTGGACTAGGAATTGGCTTGATCTTTCACATCCAGCCGCTGGAAGGGCGGCCCGTCTACCGCAAAGCTCTCTGGCCTGTGCCCAGTCCACTCGGAACAGTGGAGGCTTCGCGGCTGCCTGTCTCCCTTCACCTCACTTCTCCCTGCGCACGAGCCCCTCCATGTCTCCTCTCCCTCTCCCCGCTCCGCCCCAGCAAGGATGTCATAAATTCTCTCACAGCGGGGTGTCCAGTGAACACTAAGGGCCAAAACAAAGTTACAAACTGGTGACCCATGGGCAGGATCCAGCCCACAAATGTGCTTTGGTTGGCTTTCTCTGTGTTTTATTTTTTAAATGTGGGATTAGATACTAACACTTTCAAAATCAAGAAACCTCATAAAAATGCTGATTTCTGACTTTAAAAGCTTCACGAGGTCCACATTCCTGCCTGTGAACAGCTGGCCAAACTGAGCAGAGGCTGCCCCTGTGGACAGGAGTATGTTTTCCCATTTGCTTCAGTCCCTGCACTTCCTGTGGTCACTGTCACTGATTAGCTGTCCCTGCTCAGAAGGCAGTTGAGTCCCAGAGGTAATTCCATTTTAACAAAATCTTAAGCCAAACAAATGCAGCTATAATGGTAGAGACTCAGGCTCCAGGAAGCCAAGCAAAAACCCTATCAAGGGAATTGCTAGTTGTTTTCTTCCAAAGCATATTTAACACTTTATCCCCCATCCTTCCCCTTCTTCTCCGTAGCTCGCTTTCTACTGGCAACATCTGCAAACTCTAGAGAGAATGAGGGGAACTCGGACCGTCAGGATGGTTCAGGAGCCGGCTCTGGGGGCACGGGCCTTGGAGATGGCAGCACCCTGCAGTTAACCCTGCTTTGGGAATCAAGAACCTGGTCTGGGGATGTTTGGTCTCCTTTGATACTTAGTCACCCTCTATCATGCCTCCCTCAGAGAATGGGCAGGGGGAATTTTTTTAATGGAATTTGAGCCCGCACATTTTATAATGTGTCAACAAACACATACAGTAAGGTTTGGATAGTTTGTTGTGTACATTCCCAGTACCCAACACCTTGCATTTTCCCTTGTGTTCTGAATGGACTTTAGTTGTTTTGTATCGTAAGGTATCTTGGAGGTTTAATTGTAAGATGTCCATGGAATCCATGTGTGAAGAAGTTTGTTATGAGGTCTCTCTGGCATTTCTGAGACATTGGTCTAACAAACCCATTATAATTTTATGATATACAAAACTAGCATAACCTGATTCTGGTCTAATTTAGGAAAAAGATAGACCTGGTGGTATAGTAAACTGTATTTTCTCTCTTAATATTTCTGTCCACTTTATTTCAAGGCTTTATGAAAAACTGGCAACCTCATAGATCTCTTGTGAAGAAGTTTCTTCGTGTTTGAGGAAAAGGATAATATAAAATAATTACTAAAAATGAATACACCGATGCATTTTTATTATTGTAAAAGTAATAGGCTTCTGTTTTATTTGCATGGTGGACTCGACACCCACTCTAACTGCAAAAAACTACATATTTTGGCCAAAGCTTTTTTTAAAAAAAAAATAAAGTTGGCCCTGGCCGGTTTGGCTCAGCGGTTAGAGCATCGGCCTGCAGTCTGGAGAGACCCGGGTTCAGTTCCCGCTAAGGGCACGTAACTTGGTTGCAGTTTGTTTGTCCCCGGCCCTGGTTGGGTCGTGTGGGTGGCAATCACTCGATGTGTCCCTTTCATGTTGATCTCTCTCTCTCTCTCTCTCTCTCTCTCTCTCTCTCTCTCTCTCCCCTCCCCTCCCACTCTATCTGAACAAAATGTCCTAGGGTGAGGATAAATAAATAAATAAATAAATAAATAAAGTTGGACATACTCAAAGGACAAAAGTTCTTTGAAACTAGGAACCTAGAGAGGAAAGTGGACAGATGCAAACTTTTACCTTGACCTGGGCATTCGAAGAACTTGGTGACCTTGAGCTTCAGTTTCACAGTTGGAGGGCAACGGGGGGGCATTGGACAGGAAACAATGCCCAGGGCCTATCCAAGGTATAGGATGTAATACACCACACAACTGGAACTGGGACCCCGAAGGACATGATACTCAGTGTAAGAATAAACTAAAAATAACCACCTCAAACCCTGAAACTAGAAGGGGAAAATAACTGTCTCCCCTGAGATTCTGTAACTTTTAGTTGTTCCTCATGAGCGTTTTAGACTAAATTCACACTACTTGGGAAACTGAAAACCCTTAAACTAACAGTTGCATTTAATGTCACACATAGTTGTCCCTCTGACAGAGGGCAGAAGCAAATACATGTTTTCCTAGAGGAGCTCACCTCAAAGGGATCCTGTAAAGTTTCCAGGAGTATTGCTGTCATTTAAAAGTCACAAAACACACAAGGACTTTGAGTGAGAAAAAGTTGGCAAGAGAATCAGATCCACTAAAAATTTCAGATATTTGGGTATCCTGCCCTGGCCGGTTTGGCTCAGCAGTTAGAGTGTCGGCCCGCAGACCAGAGAGTCCCGAGTTCGGTTCCCACTAGGGGCATGTACCTCGGTTGTAGTTTGTCCCCAGCCCCAGTTGGGGTCATGTGGGTGGCAACCAGTTGATGTGTCTCTCTCATATCGATGTTTCTCTCTCTCTCTTCCCCCCTCTCTCCCTCCTGCTCTGTCTGAAGATAAATGCAAAACTGTCCTCAGGTGAGGACAAAAAAAAAAAAAAATGTATCTAGCCCGGCCAGTGTGTCCCAGTGGATTGAACATTGTCCCATAGACTGAGAGGTCCTGGTTCCATTCCCGGTCAGGGCACATGCCTGGGTTTCCAGCTCGATTCCCAATGAGGGGCATGCAGGAGGCAGCTGATGTTTCTCCCTCACATTGATGTTTCTCTCTCTTTCTCCCTTCCTCCCTCTCTAAAAAAATCAATAAAAACATTAAAACAAAAAAAAAAAAACTATTTATAGCCCTGACTGGTTTAGCTCAGCAATTGGAGCATCGGCCTGAAGACCAGAGTCTCGGGTTTGATCTGGTCAAGGGCACGTACCTGGGTTGCAGATTCAATGCCTGGTCCCCGTCGGGGTTGTGTGGAGGCAATCAATTGATGTGTCTCTCTCACATCAACATTTTTTCTCTCTCTCTCTCTCGCTTCTTCCCACTCTCAAAAAAAAAAAAAAAGAAATCAATGGGGAAATATCCTCAGGTGAGAATTAATAACAACAACAAAAATATCTGTAATATGTTTGAAGAAATAAAGAAAGGATGAGAAATATGAGAAAGAGCAAAAGACTCTAAAATATGACCAATCCAATATTTAAAAGAATCAAATAGAATATCTAGAAATGAAATAATTGAAATAAAAACTCAATGGAAAGATTTAACAGTAGATTAGATACATCTGAAAAGATAATAAATAAACAGAGAGATAGAGCTACAAACCAGAGTATAATACAGAGAGATTTTTTGAAGAAAGGTTAAGAAACAAGAAAACAAATAGCAAATGTCTAATGTAAGGCCTTTTCAGAACTGCAGGAAAAAGAGAAGAGAAATAAGTCAGAAACAATATTTTAACAAGATAATAAAATTCCAGAACTGATGAAGAGCACAGTCCACAAATTCCAGAAGCTTAGTGAGATAAACTAAAAAGAAATTCACACCTACACACATCACAGAAATATTGCACAGACACCAAGACCAGACAAAAGCTTAAAAGCAGCCAGAGGAAAATACAGATTCACTAAAAAAATGAGATACAGGTGAAAACTTACTTCTCTATAACAAGAATGAAAGCCAGAAGACAGGAATATTGTCCATAATGCTGAGAGAAGGTAACTACAGAATTCTATACCTAGCAGAAATTTCTCAAGAATAAGTATGAAATAAAGACATTTCAGACACACACAAAACTGTTTGCCATCAATAGATCCTCACTAAGGAACATGTCAGGTATTTGCCTGAGGCAGAGGGAAAACAATTCAGATGGAAGAGCTGATATTTAAACAGAAGTGAAGAACAATTAAGAGGTAAATAGGTAAGTGAAGGTATTTACTTTATAGAATAATAACTAAATTTAATTAAATATTTAAATTTATTTTTAAAATTTTTAAATAGAATGATCATCATCATCATTATGGAGTTAAAAGAAAATATAAATACATGACAAGAGCATATAATTTAAAGGTGGTGACAGCAAGGCGGTGTGGCTCAGTGTTTGAGCGTCGACCCATGCACCAAGAGGTGGCCAGTTTGATTCCCAGTCACAGCACATGCCCAGGTTGTGGGCCCGATCCCCAGTGGGGGGCATGCAGGAGGCAGCCAAGCAAAGTTCT